GCACTTACGTGCATTACGAGACTTCTATTGATGAATAAATACAGACTGAATTAATAGGTTTCCCCCATTTTAGCATTGAAACAATTAATAATTACAATGATGAAGATGAAGATGATGATGATGATGTGATGATGATAAAGAGGAGGAGGAGGCATCGTAGCAGGTGACGACAGGCTTCTGTGCAATGTTAATTAACAGGCCTTTCGATAGGAGTGTCAACCGAGGCCCGTATCCCGAGTTCGTCGTCACATTTTCAATGCACACAATCGGACAACAGTAATTATCTATGTTATATAATCAGTACATTCTCGACTATCATTTAAATATCATATATCTAAAAAATTACGTTATATGTATGCTCGGAAGCGGAACTTTTTAACCTAAAAGTTTGATATATGTTTCATGATGTTTGTTGAATGGTCTTTAATGATATTATATTCTAATATCACAACATAAGGAAGAACACTTTGTCACCTACAAAGTTCAGACCCATATACATTTATATTTCCTTAGGCCTGAATCATAAGGAAGTCCGCTCTATATCGAAATTTCAGGAAATTATACGTTTTATACATGCACCGACGTGGGAATTTTGTTTTATGTTGTTTGCTGAATGGTCTTCTTTAAAAATATTACAGTTTAATATGACGACAAACATAAGGAAGTCCATTCTTCAAATGTTTAATACAGAGAATTATGATTGTTTATCAAAATCGTTATACACATGTTAAATCTAATTTTTTTTAAATAAATGAAAAAAAATCAAGTTTTTAGTGCACGCGCCGACGTGGAAAGATTAACCTAATAATCTTGTTAATAATGCGGTTCTAAAATTAATCTCATGACCACAACTTTTAAGTTGTAACTTCAGAAAAAATAATAATGCATTTTTATTATACACCACCACCAGCTAGGAAAGTAATTAATGCATAAATGTCTTCTGTGATTGGTTGATTGCCAACATTTCAATGCTTTGTGGTTGGATGGTCGAATATAATAATGCGTAACTCTTATAGTAATTTCATATTTCGAAAAATTGTTTGGAGTAGGCTATATGATAACATTCCATGACTGATACATTCACAAGGTGCCCCTAAGCCAAAATTTCAAAATTGAATAAATTGCGTTTTACCGAATTACGACATACTGAGTAGATTAGGCCTACTGGTTAAAATGCCAGAGACCCTTTTTTAAAAATAACAACCGACATTTTTAATGTTTTCCTTAATATAAAAAAAAAAAAATAAAAAAAAAATCTTGATTTTATATTTTTCTGTTTTAATTTAATTAATCTGTTAATGTTAAAAATCTAGTTTAATTTTCATCTTTTATTCTTTTGCCTCTTATTGTGTGTACTGAGGGTCCCAATTCAGCTCTGGAAGAATAATCTACCTCACAAATTATTGTTGAAATAGATACAGTAAATAAAATAACCTTTCGTTTTGGGGATTGAGGCGCATGACTACAGTAGTTCTTAGCACGATTTTGATAGACAAATTAGGTGTACACAAGCCAAAGGTTACGGACCAAAGGCGTATGAGAAGTTACAAGAAGCATCCGTCGATGCGACGGTGAAGTAAGGAATTGTTTTCAAAGGATACAATGTAGTCAGTAAAAAACAATATTTATACTACTACCTTCTAATATGTTAGTTAAAATATGGGTTCACATAATTTGGAAGTTCTTCGTCAGGGATTTTGGGGTTCAATTACTGGAGGATGGTATTACGACCCTCACCAAAGCATTTCGTCCAACACAATTCATCTGTATCTCTGGCTCTTCCTGCTATGCCTTCCTTTGAGTCTTTTTCTGGTAAGTTCCACATAAAATTGTGTCTGTTAAATCCGGAATACTTAATATTCATGTAATTATCTTAGGCCCCTAGGGCCAGGCTAGGCCTACTACTAGGAAAGGGGCGGGGGCTATAGACATATGCCTAGGCCCTTCTATATAATATCTATTATTCTAGGCCTCGGCTAGCACATGATGTGATGTGAATGCAGGCTAACTCGTACCCATAACTCCTACTTGTTGTAGTTTGACCGACTCGTACCCATTATGTTGGTGTCTGGTACCCATAGAATGCCATAGACTATGGGTACGAGCGACCAACATGGTTGCCTAGTTAACTAAGCCTGTTACCCAAGTATTATGTTGTAAATAAGCTCTAACTTTGTGTTTTGTCTTTTCGTTACCATACATGCATGATGCATATCTTTTTGTATAGGGGCCTATTATTATTATTATTATTATTATTATTATTATTATTATTATTATTATTATTATATTATATCAAAAAATGAGAGGGAGGAAATTTATGGGCTCTAGGCTATAGTAAATATTACAATTATTCTCAGAATTTAGAGTGAAGTGTAAATATGGAACAAGATTAAAGTACAAAATTGCGAAATATAATCGTAATTCAGCTACCATGCATGAAGTTGCCCTAACACAAGATTTCGATCACACTGTGGTCTTCTTCAGGTAAAAGTGATGAAATGCAAACATAATCAATCACTTTAAACAATGTAAGTGACTGGGTGGAACCTCAGTGATCTAAGGAGCTAAGGTCGCTTGCTGCCCGCTCTCGATTTCAGGCCCCTACTGTAGCATCAAAAAGCATCTTTGTGTCTTTTTTTTTAAAAGCAAGGTAAATACTGTAGATAAAAGTACTTCTGACGATACTTTTGATTCAGTTTTGTTATATTTTTATGAAAATCTGACTCGCCTCACTGTAAAATGCACTCAAACCACTGTGTATGTTGCAACACCTTAATCGATCACAGCGTGTTTATTATTAATCGTTGCGGAACGCCATGCATCCGTATTTTAAATAGACACACGATCTTTGACCAATACTGTGATGAAAGATCAAAGTTGACAAAAATCACCAATTTTCGAGAAGTGCTGACAAGAGCCATGTAATGTATTTCCAGCAGCCTACATAGTATAGTAAATGCAAGTATGATGAGACAATTAGTTAAAATCATAGGCAATAAACATTAAGATTCTGATGTACCGCAAGCAATAATATATATATTCACCTGGCATGCGCTAAACGTTAATGTACTTCATATTATTAAAAATATCTTACCCACAGGCAAGTTTTTGTAGACCACACTTCAATGCTCAAAGTAAAAAAAAAAAACCCATAAATCTTATATGTGTTATTGTGTACCCACATGTCCGTAGCCAGGGGGGTTCGTTGGGTTTTTTTCATGAAGTGCCCTTTCAACAAAGGCTGGCTAGCCTACACTTTAGGCCTAGCCTAGAGCCAATCATCATTAATGGTCCTATTTTAATACCTGTTTGTTAAGCCTACCTAGTAAAATAAAAAATTCAGGCCCCGAAACCTTGACTCAGAAATACCGGGATGGTGTCCGGCGGGGGATAGTTTCACCTATGTATATATATATATATATATGATTATAATACGCTACAACCAACCATACAAATTTGTCTCGGTTCTTTTTGTTATTGATTGTCTTAAGTGAGTATAGTATGATCTACAACTTCCAAAGTGCTATATAAATAAAAAATAAAGAATAAACCATACTGGATTCTTTGGAGTTTGTATCATGCTACTGTTGTTAAATTACCAATACTGTAGTACTAATGTCGTAGTTTTTTTGTTTTTGTTTTTATCTTTTCCCAACTCAAAAAATTACCTCTTTAATATATACATTTTTTTTAATGTATGGCCTCTCAAATCAATTAAATAACACCTCTAAATGCTTAGAATGCTGGACCCCCACCGGGGCTTTGGCCCTGGACCCCTCGGGAGCCCTGGCGGCTCCCTGGCCCCAGCCAATGGTGCTCGCAAGTGCCTTTTCAGTATCAAAAAGAACCCCCCTACCAAAATCCTGGCTACGGGCTTGACCCACTATCCATTATTTTGGGGATATTTTAATACCTGTTTGTTAAGCCTACCTAGTAACATAAAAAATTCAGGCCCCGAAACCTTGACTCAGAAATACCGGGATGGTGTCCGGCGGGGGATAGTTTCACCTATGTAATATATATATATATGATTATAATACGCTACAACCAACTATACAAATTTGTCTCGGTTCTTTTTGTTACTGATTGTCTAAGTGAGTATACTACTAAACTTCCAAAGTGCTATATAAATAAAAAATAAAGAATAAACCATACTGGATTCTTTGGAGTCTGTCTCTTATACACATCTAGATGTGTATAAGAGACAGCCCAGCCCCCTGGCCCCTAGCCAATGGTGCTCGCAAGTGCCCTTTCAGTATCAAAAAGAACCCCCCTACCAAAATCCTGGCTACGGGCTTGACCCACTATCGATTATTTTGGGGATGTCATATTTCGTTACTAATTTTGTGTATTGTAATAAGTATACTTTTTTTTATACCCTCAGGGATCAAGCAGTTCTTTAACAATATGGATTATATACTGTCTCCTCATCGGTCTGACATTCAGTATAATAAAAATAATAAACTATCGAATGCACCTGATGTTTGATGTGGGAGAGCAGCCAAAAACCAGTAAAAATGGAATCAGTGACGAAGATGAAGGCAAAAAACCTGAAAAAATAGAAGATTGTCATGAAGTTGGAAATGTTGCCTCAAATCAAGGGGTTCATCTACAGATAAAACATATAGAGTAGGTAGAATTTTCATAAAATGTTTTAGGTGTCATTTTAAAGATATTTCAGCACAATTGGTGATTGCAAACTACTTAAAAAATATAAATAAAAATTATGATTTAAAAATTTAAAAAAAAGATAAATAAAAATTTAAAAAAATATTAAATAAATAAATAAAATAAAGTAAAATCAAATAATAAAGTAATAAGGAATAAAGATAATAGTTTTAATAAATAATATATAATACCGTAGTAGTGGTCATTTGGCATTTACAGTAGGTCTAGAATTAAGTACAGATATCCTTTGTGGGTCAAGAACTAGCCTAAAGTCTCAGTTCCACTAGCATGGGTCGGATCAAAGACTACTGCAGTACCTAAACTTATTCTGAAAATGTTTCCAACTACAATTTTCAAGTATTACTATCAGTTAGTTTTCTGTCTTTCCAACTAATATTCTTCAGCATCTGTGTGTTCTGCACCTTGAATACAGCCACTCCAAAAAACATGCATTTCTCTACAGTATACTGAGCGTTGATTGCTATGTCTGTACTAAACCAAATAACTGTATATTTTACATTTCAAGTTCAAGTTCGTTTTTATTTCAGTATAGTTTATTGTGATGCCAGTTGTGTATACTGTATTGCATTATTTTTTTTATCTGACTTCCTCTTTCAAATACAGTGAAACGTTAGATGGAATTGAATTAGAAGAACTTAATAGTAATAGACGTAGTGCCACACCTCCAATTGGATGCAGCTCAAGAAACTCTGTAAATAGGGATGTTGATAAGGTAGGATTCCATGTTTAATGTGTTTCCTTCCTCATACAATGTTTTTAAACTAAACAAGCCTCAGTTTTTCATGAAGTACAGTAGTGCTGTACCTGTAAATGCTACAATGTATGGGCTTGCCAGTTTTCTTGAGTCCAGGCATGCAGCTGAGCCACAAGGCAAGACTTTTTTACTTGTTTAGCGAACCCGCTGTTGATTTTGATTAAAAGTAAAATTTCATTTTTGGGCAATTAACCACCTGCCACCACGAAAAAATGGAAATTTTAGAATAAAACAAAACTTTTTCTCTATTATTATTATTATTACACTCGCCGCTGGCTTGGAATCTCCAAAAATAATATATGTATATTTCTTCCTAATTACATAAATTCAAAGATTTTAACCATCCCCTTACTACATTGTGCAGTACTGTACAGTAGGTACTGTAGTTCATGGTTGCAAAAAAAATTATCTTGACTGACGATCTTATTTTTTTTTTTCATTTCAACACAACAATTTTTTATTTTATGGCCTTAAAGTACAGTAAGTATACCGTAGTGTATGGGATTAGAATTTTAAAATTACTATACAATGGGTTGAATTTTCTGAAAATAATTAATGGGTAATTCATTGGAGTCAATCATAATCTGCTTTCGCTTTACAGCATAAGATTAATTATTTGTCAGGGACAGCAGATCTTCGATATCCTCTGGGTTTCTTTGTAATTCATACACATAATGGAGTATTATTCATTGCTCCACCCTCTCTGACCCTCCTATGAATCTGATATTGCTATTCATATAATGTTCAATACCTTGCATTCTTTTGCCTTAGACTGATGATGAAGTCCTCTTACCCGGTAGCATAAAAGCAGATATTCACCATCAAAAGGATCCCTACAGCTCTGAAGATACAATACTCAAAGCCTTAAATACCTTAGATACTATAGAAAAAGAATTACATTTGGACTCACCTCCTCCAAGCCTCAGTAGTAAGGGTAAGTATCCTGAACATGTTCATACATCACATACTAACACAATCTACTTTCATTGTGTTAATTCGTGATGTGAGCGACGATTAATTCTGTCAAAATTAGCCGTCTTATAATTAGGAACTTGCCGTCTTACTGTAGGACGCAGTTTTACATTTATTTTTAAAATGCAGGAGTTTGTGGTCTGTGTGGTAGAAATAACCTAATTGGGAATATTAGAAAGTCCATCAGGAGAGGTCGTAAAAGGAAGTTTAAGTATGTTGTCACAACCCTCCTTCAGCGGTATCGGAGCTAACATTTTCGCCCAAATATCCATTAATTTTTGAAAAGTTAAAATCTCCAAAGAGGTGAATGTTATGGACTGGTCTAAGTGTCACAAGCGTGGAAGAGAGGTTGTTGATGAATTCAGCTTACAGTATAACCGCTTAGCACATTGTTGCACACTACTGTACGAGAGCCATTTATTTGATATGAGGTCGGTCTAAATTTGATAACCTTTAACTTATCATCGGGTACAAGATTGTGTTGTCGATCATTCTAGGGGACTAACGCACCATCTTTTCTATGGAGATCGTATCTAAATTAAGGAATTTTATTGTCAGAAACTGTGTTTTGTACACTTAAAATGATGAAAAAATGAACAACCTCTAACACGTTGGAATCTTATTGTCAGTAACTGTGTTTTGTACACTTAAAATGATGATAAAATAGACAACTCCTAACACAATGTGCAGTTTTTATATGTTGGTCTGTCCATTTATCTATCCAGCCAACTTTTTAATTGTTTGTATATTATTTTTGTTTCAGATATTAAAGAATTAAAAAGTGAAGAACTGCAAACTACTTCTTTTATTGACTCAAGTGCCATGGGTATCATTAAATTTGTTTTACTCTCTTTCAAATGCAATTAATTTCTTACTACTATATTCTTAATTGATCTTAATGTTGGAGGACTGCATTTGAAATATGTTTAATCTCCTAATTACTTTTCTGTGGTTATAGTTTAAATATAATTTTTCTGGAGGTCGTGGGTTAGAGTCCCACTCAAATCACTTGCGAGATTTTTTTTTTTTTTTGCAAGTATTTCGGAACGTACTGAGCATTCAGTACAATAACAAGTCAGGTAGGGAAAAACATTCCTATTAAAATTTCCTGACACAAAAATATTATCAAAATAGGTTTGATTTCATCAGAATAATACTTTTAAAAATGTTGATAAATGTTAATAAATGTTCATATATTTTTCTGCATCATTGAAATGGTGATTATTAGTAGTGGACATAATGGTATGTTGTTCTGTTTTTGTTCAGGACCAGCAACAACTAAAATCCCTACACCAAAGTCGGAACGCAGCAGAAAAACTAAAATGACAGTCATTGAGCGAACCCGCTCAAATGGCTCTGTAGAGCCGTACATATTTACATCAGCTGCGCAACCGAAAGATAGCAATAGCAATGAATATGACAAGCTGGGCAAAAGGAATTCTGATTTCTTAGATGTGTTTCTTGGAACAAAAAATGAGCTTCAATCCCCTAGCAGTACAGGCAGTGATGTGGAAGATGTAAAAAAAACAGTGAAAAAAGATTTAGAATTAACAGAGAATAAAGGAACATTGCCAGAATGTAAATGGCCTGCACTTATATCTGATGAAGAATTTATAGATACAATGAATTATCGTAAAAAGAAGCGACGCTTATTGACTCGGCACAAAACCAGCAATGACAATAATGCTGGTACCAGTGAACATGATCTCTCAACGGTGTCCAGCATCTCCTCGAAAGAATTTAGTGCTTCACAGAGATCAGAAAATGATGACCTCTCCAGCTTAGGGACTGACTTGTTCCAAACATTCTCCTGGATGACACCAGAAGCAGAAGATGGCAGAAGATCTAGAAGGACAGCTTTGATTGATTCACTGACAAGTAGAAAAAGGACTAACAGTGAAGAAGGAAGTACGAGTGGAAAAGTTGATAGTGCTGATAATCATTCAAGAACCAGCTCAGTATCCTCAACATCTGCTGTAGCATCCAAAGACACAGGATCCAGTAATAGTGAAAGGTCTGACACCTGTCTCTTGCACAAAAGTGATTTATCGGTCACCGCAGTGACAATGGAAAACTCAAGTAAAAATGAGGAACAATATAATGAAAGGGCAGCCAGTTCTCCAATTAAAAGTGAGAAAGAAGATGCTGGTGTGCCTACAGAAGCTGAGGCCTTTCTTAAAACAGATTCTAAAACATGGAATGTACCAGGATCTGATAGTTTGAGTTTTTTGTTTGATTCAGAAGCAGACAAAAATCAGGGTGAGTTTGAAATTTTTTCTACAGTACTTAAAACAAAAAAGTTTAAAAAGAAAAAAGGTAACATTATAATGAAAAATGAAAAGAGTAGGCCTCCTGTTGTTGGCACTCGGATCATGCTAACACAGAATAATTATCTACAGGTACACGTAACAAGATAGCGACAGTTATTACCACTAATCAGCAATGTGCTACAGTATTCCAGTGACAAGTATTACAAGATTAAAAATAAATAAAAAGTAAAACAATAATTGATGCAACAGGAAATGAAAAAGTTGGCAGGGACAAAAAACTAACATATATAGTATTTTGCCTAACAAATTTTATGCTAGTATTTTTCTTTAAACAAACTTGTTCCTGGTTATACTATATTTCTTGTACTGTATTGTCGCATTTTCTTCTTGTCACTTTTCAGATTTAGCAGCTCAGCTATACATTGATTGCATTATTGTAGATAGTTATATGTCTGTAGAATACGAAAGATAATTTAATCTTGACTAAGCCTACATAGGGCCGTAATTGAATTTTAGGATTGCAGAACAGGCACAACATAGCCATGTATCATGTAATGATAGGCTTAGTCTCCCAATCGAACAGGGATATTATCTGCTGGTTATAGGTATGCGCCAGTACTGTTACATACACCGCTGTGGCAACATACAAGCTAAGAGTAAGTACAAGGCTGTCTAAAACTACATCGAGAAAAGTTTGACTTTATTTTCGTGAGTAATTACTAATCTTAAGGAAGGTATATATGCCTTGGCCTATGATTATTTGCTGCTTATGATGAACGTTATTCTAGATAAACGTTCGATAGACCACATTCTATCCTACGTTCGACGTTCTCTGGATCTGCGCATTGTACACACTTATTGACTACATTATAAACTGTGTTCTACGTTCTAAATTAACTACTGTATGTTCTACATTCTACGCTAAGTTATTGTTATGTTTTTGTTACACATATTTTACGACTGTACTACGAAGATTACGCGTGGTACGGAGGCAATAATTCACGGCTGTACTGTAGGTGTCGCACTTATATCCCACCCACAGAAGAATCACATGCATTATGTTGTCTTCTTTTATAAATGTGTTCTTTAAATGAGCATTCAAAAAAGGATGTCTGTAAAGAATGAATGTAATACTTAATGTTGGCTAACATACTGAAGTCTTGATTTTTACAGAAAATGAATCTGCTATTGGAATAGTTGAAATCCCTAGAACACAAAGTGATGTTGCTGGAGGTCACAGTAGGGATAGAAGCCGTGAGGGCGCTATTCCAAAACAGAGAACACGCATTAATACCACAACAAGTAGGTGTCCTTTTTAAAAAAAATAAAAATAAAATCCTTATAAGGGGTAAATAATTGGCAGTCTAGACTACTGAAATCTGTGATAGCTATTTGTGAAAATGTTTTATACAGTACTACTGTATGTTCCTGCCTTAAAAACAATTTGGCTACAACCTCTGAATTTGTTTTCGTCAGACAGCTCTCATGGTCTACTGTAGTACCATAAATTCAAGTGTTTGAATACCACTATACAAAATTTATTTAAAATTAAATTTAATACTACTGTATATAATATGTTAATGTACATTTCAAACAGCTCTAACTGAAATCAAGTATAAAAAATAAGAACATAAAATTTGTTGTATTATAAATATGTACTAGTTGAATTTTGTGTTTTTGTTTAATATTCAGGTGAAGATTTTGGAGTGGAGGATGAGACGGATCCTGATTCAATGCCAGTGGGTAGCATAAATACTAGCAGCAGTACACTGCTATCCAAGATATTCCAGACAGTCCGACGTGATATTCTTACACAAGACACCAGCAGTGAACTTGAAAGTAAGGCCATTCATTATTAGTGGGTATTAACAGTATATAGTGCTTTTCTACAACTTGTATCTGGGTATGTGTTTGCATTTTGGATATGGTCAAACTTACTATTTAGGACACCTTAAAGTATGACATTCTATATTTGCAACTGCAGAGGTCTAAGTAATCTGTAAATTTTGTTGGGCCACGTACAAGTTTATTTCAAATTATTTGCTTTGATTAATAACTACAGTAAATAATTTAATTGAGAATTTCCAAATGTAACATCTACAACTGTATCCAAACTCATACTTTTTACACAAATTAGATATAGATGTTCCTAGAAAAAAATCAATCTAAATAATTCTTTATTGTCCATTCATATGAAGACAGAAATGTAATTTGAACTGGCATACTATACATGTACAAATTAAAACAACAAAGGCAAAAACACAACATCCATAAAAAGCAATATTAATATAGAAGTAGAAAGTTACTTTTATTGCACGATAACTATAAAAATACAGCATTGAACTCTCTCCATATCTGCTTACAATGTATACCGTACTTCCCTAGGAGTTTTGTTTTGTCATACAGCCAATAAGTCACTGTCTAGTCCAAAATGATGGGCTGTGGACCAGAACACCAGTAGTAACTTACTGGTTAAGATGCTTGCCTTCCAATCCCAGGGTCCTGTAGGTTAAAACACTGTGACAGCACAGGGTATTAATTTAGAGGAATTTTCTTTATATAGTGAATATGCGAAGAAGACGTCGAATGGCTTTATATCGAAGCGCCACTAGTGCTGACCCAAGAAGACATCGTATAAGACGACGCCGTCACGACTCTGGTCCAGATCACTCGCGCGAGACAAGAGGTTTGTGGATATTTTTTTTTGTCACTCAATATTATTATTCACAAGCATTAACTTAATGAAATTATTGGCCAAATTTCATATCTCAGGACCAGACACAGGCTTGGTAAAGTAAAATTAATATGTCATTTGATTATTTAGAGCCTAGAGCTAGTGAAGTTATTTTTGTGGGAATCTTTAAACTAATTCTTATTTAGGACTAATGTAGCTGTCTTTGTAAATGATCTTAAATAAATTGTTGTGGAACGTAATTTGGTTATAGGTAGAAACTAGATGCCATGCCTTTGTTCTCTTTTCAGATTACCGCAAGCCTGTTTCTCCACCTACTGCTCTCATGCCACACCTAAGCAGTAGCTCACAGGGCAACTATATGGCCACCAGCCATGATGACACAGCGCAAGGATCAGTTCACTGTTTTCAGGATGAACTAGGTATGAGAACTTCATATCCACCTAATAAAAAAAAACAACAATGCATTACCTATTGGTGAATGAAATGGTAGCTGTACTTGTATGAAAACATGTTTCAATAATGAAAATTGCTAAATAATAGTGCTTATATATTTTTCAGGTAACTGGCTAACTTATACCTTTGATGAGACTGGTAATGGTGAAGCAAGTAGATTAGAAACAGACCTATCACCAGCTTGGTCTAAAAGCATTCATAGCACAGACATGTGAGTTTATCTATTTAACCAAAATATTAATTGAATAACGAATATACTTACATTCAACAAGTTTTGGTCCTTTGCCAAAATTAAACATACAACCCTATAATACCTACTAGATAAACAGGAAACCATTTTTACATGCCTTTTTTTAATGATTTTTATTTTTATCTTGACATATTAGCGATAAGGATAGTGTGTACAGTGAATGTTCTGCCCCTCTGGTACTGGAGCTGCCTAAGAGAGACAGCTACAATGATATACCAGGATTGTTATCTGAAAGTTTCTTGAATGGTAATGAAAGCAGTATATTCATGAATGAACTTCTCAACATTTCCCCGTTTCCTAATGATGCATCACGACTTCCTAAGCACCAGGAACGTAAGAAAGTCATCCATAATTACCGATTCTGGATCCTGCCATGGAAGTCATTCCGAGTAAAGGCAGACCGTTTAGCATTTCAAGCCCTACTAGATAGGTACGTTCTAGATGCAGTCTCTATGTTCATTCATAAATTTGAAGGATATTTAACATAATCAAAGTGGTTTCTTGAGCATTAGGGACAGAAAGTTGGCCTCAACTTGTCCCATAAATAAATTTTCAAAATATTTTTCTGCCCATCGCTGTGCCATAAATTTGGAGATAATGATCGTCCTGAAATATAATTTATTTGCTTGTGACAAAAAAAAAACTACCATCTTTGTATGCTAAAAAACAGAACATTAAAATTTTAGTAATTTGTTTTATTACAGGAATCGTACAATAATAGAAAGTATTTTTGCCACAGTCCTTGCAATTCTTGTAGCCCTTCTAGGGTACGGTGTGCTGACAAGCAATTTCTTTCAGGACTTTTGGATATTTTGGTTCTGTTTTGTGGTTGCTAGTTGTCAGTACTCCCTCTTAAAGGTTAGTAGATTTTATATATTTTTTTGTTTTAATATGGAAAAAAATGGACTATTGGACATAGTATCTGCTATATAAGTGTATTGTAAAACTGTATTTAGCTTCAGAAGAGCATTCAAATGATACCAAACACAATGGTAATTGATGAGTATCAAATTTTATCCATTTATTTACTTATTTGGTCATGTGGCATTATTTAATGGCATATTAAACTTAGTAAATGTGCATTTTCAAGATAGAAGTAATTAAAAAAAAATAATCAGTGTATAATTTCCTTTCGGGCAATGTTTTAGTCGGCACATCAAAATGGTGGACATTTTGCACTAGAAGTAGATCACATGAACAAAATTTACACCAAACTATACACCCATATATATACACTTATTTTTTAAAATTGACTCACATGTAAAAGTGCACGTATTTCAGCTGCTAGATTACAAATCTAAATAAATATTTACCTGCTTTACTATCTAGTATGGTTTTCAATACCCCAGATAATATGTTGTAAAATGCATAAAATTATTTACGTTTTTGTTGTAATTTGATTTCAGAGTGTTCAACCAGATGCTGCATCTCCTATGCATGTAAGTATATATAATATTGAGGCTAATGATAACAATGCTCTTAAAAATACATTAGTTGATTGTATAAAAGGGAGTGTTAATTATGATTTTTCTTTGTATAAATATTTGTTTAATAATAAAAATATTCACCAATTTAAACGGGAATTAAAACATATCGATTGTCAGAACCATGGTATTTGTTGGCAGCCTAGCTCAGTTGGCTAATCTGGTGGTAGCCATTGTGTGTGCGCTTAACCGTGGAGATCTCTAGGTCCCCGGTTCAGTTCCCATCGATGTCTCTCCTTGTGTTTCAGCTGGAGGGCTGAAATACAAGTTGCAATAATGCACCGTCTTTCGGATGAGACGTTTAAGCCGTTGGTTCCCGTGTGCATTTATGGCCCATGTGCACATTAAAGAACGCAGTACACTCTTCGGAAAAGTGTAAGGGATTGTCTGCCGGTGGACTGCCCAATCACCACCAGAAGGACCTGGAAATAAGTCTTATTCTAGACTTTCATGGGATATCCTTGGTGTTTACACCGAATAAATCCAATCCAATCCAATCCAAAGTGATAGTGTTAAAAATGTAATACAGAGAGATATGTTCATTAATAATGAAAATTTGAATATTATCAAACTATTGCTTAAAAGTTTTAGAATAAACGTATTGATTCCCTTCATTCTGTATTTTATGATATTCCGATTGATTTATTTTGTTAATGTGATATATTTCATATGGTTTTCTGATATTTTGTGTGTATCTCTCCAAATGGAGGTTCTGAATAAATTGAATTGAATATAAATATACTTATAGACTGATTATTCTTACAATAATCACCCTGAGATAAAGGAGCAAGAGTGAGATGTGTGACAATGCATAAAGGAGCATGGCATATATCTATCAATAATAAAAATAACAGTGGCATTTGAATATATATTATTTGAAAGTAATGAGACTGCTTAGGATATTATTGAAATTGAATTTTATATCCTGCTAAAAATATGCTGTAGTAAGTAGATTGTATTTTAAATATCATTTAAACATTTTACTATAATTTTGTGTAACCATTTTGATTATCTGCTTTTTCTAATGTCCCGGGAAGTGGATCGTTACTAGACGTTTGTTTGGGTTGATTTCTTAGGCAACTTTATCAGGAAGGGGGAGTTGGAATGTTTATTTCTTAAGGGAGGATTGATGGAAAGAGAGATAGAGGGTGCCAGAGAGAAACTTTTCTTCAAGAAATTACAGCTTGGACTGGTGTAAATAAAATCTTTCTTTTAAGAATAGCAAAGAAACAGGAAGTTTATCAAGAGATACTTTGTAAACAGTATATATAAGAGACAAAGTAAAAACCTCCAATGATTTTTACCCCCGTATTCCATACAATAAAGAATTGTCATGTTTATCTTAATTTGTTTTATAGGGCCACAACCAGATTATAGCATACAGCAGGCCTTTCTATTTCTGTGTCTGCTGTTGCTTGATATTGCTGCTTCAGTACTGCGTAACCCATTTTGACCTTGAGAAAGAAGCCTTTTCTTTGTATGGTCTGCCATTTGCCAGCCTTAAAGCCATCACTATTGCAAGAGATGCTCTCGTTGGTAAGTTCAAAACAAAACTTTGTATGAACGGTAATGTAAACATGCCTTGAATTTTTTTTTTTTTTTTGTGTGACAGTCAACCAAAACAAAATCTTTAAGTTTAATCATTTGCTTGTACATCTAGCAATTACTTACCCTCCATCTGAACAGCATTTGTAGCTAAGAAAATTTGTAATTCAGATTTTTTGTGGTATTTCAGTGCTACATAGTACAGGGCTAAACCTTACCATATTAGAACTAAGGTCCCTACTCAATTGATGTATCCATTTGAATTGATTTTCAAATAAATGCATGATCATTAGAAGTAAAGACTTCCTATACGACAATCATAAATTAGTTTACTGCACTAGTTATGTCCTTAGCAATAGCACAGAGAATGCAAAGTGAGCTTTCCCATTCTTACTGTAATAATAATAATAATAATAAAACCATACTCTGCTTGTGCAATGTGCTACACAAGCTTGCGTGCCTCCAAATGGGAGTATACATGTCTAAAAACCATTGATATCTCTTTTGTAAAAATTTTAAGCATGTGTACCCAATGAGCTGGGATAAGAAAGTGCTTTATAATTGAAAGGAAAAGTGCTATAAACTTAAAAACTGAATTGTTATTCAAAATTGATCACTGATTTGATTCTATGTATTTTTTTTCTTTTTATTGCATCTAGTTTTTGTGTTGTTATTTCCACTTATTTTCCTACTGGGGCTCTTACCGCAGTGCAATACTTTTGCTATGTATCTTATGGAGACGGTGGACATTCATATATTTGGTGGAAATGGTAAGTTTTTAATATCACTTTATTCTACTAATCAGATATTTTAAGTAGATTTAATGGCTCTTCAAAAATCCTATCATCTATAGTTCCTTGTAGGTATATTATGTAAGTCTGGTGTCTGATTAATATATATGAGTCAATTGTGATGTCATAATTTTTCTACAAGGTAATCTATGACAACTTGTACCTGTTAATTCATACAGTACTTTGCATTAGGAGTGAAACAACTTGTGGTAAAATGATTCATGTCAGAGCAAAACAACTCTGGGAGAAAAGACTAGTGTGAAAAAACTTGCTCGTTACAGTTTGATTGTCAATCCAAACAGTGTGATGGTGGCAGTATTATTCTTATATTGCAGAATTATTATAAAGTGTATGATTACACACAATTTTTGTTTTCATTTTATTTAGCTACTACTGGAGTAGGTGCAGCTTGTTATGCTGTAGCTAGGAGTATTGCTACTGTCCTCATTCTGTGTGGATTTGCTTATGGTGCTTTTGAGGTGAGTTCTATTCTTCTTCCTTATTCAATCTCATTGCAGTTCTCTGTTTCCCCTGCCATTAAGGGATTAATCCATCATGCCCATATGTAAATGTGATATGGCCAGTTAGCCACCCTACGCCACGAAAGATGGAAATTCAGAAAAGAAATTTTTTAATTTTCTCTCCGTTCCCAGAAATTTTCTTTCTTCTTTAAATATATTTAAAGCATTTATTAATCTCATCACTGTTTACATTCATCAATCAAATTTAATTTTTATTTTCTCCACCTAGATTGGCAGAATCATTTTGGTGAATAAGAAAATACATTTTTTTTTCTGCCCTCCTCCGACAATCTTAAAAAAATAAGTTTGCTAAACAAGGTATTAAAAAGTCTTGCATAACAATTGAATCAACTCAATCAAAACATCAATACTTTCTCAGCAACAGTTCTTTTCATAAATATATACGTGGTGTACTACAAGCATTTAACACATAAAGATAATGATAAAGATAACAATAAAGATGATAATAAAGATAATTGGTGATATTCTGATTTTGACATGTGTTTTGTTTTCTTAGGGTGATAATGCAGAGTTGAGTGTGTTTTTCTCCGTGTTCTGTGCTCTTTTAATACCTATTAGCTACCACCTTAGCCGTAGTGCCTGTAATCCAGATGTACTTTGGTAAGTACACTAATTATTTAGTATTTCATTTAAGTTCTTATTTGAATTTGCTTTCTGATCTTAGCACCATTATTATATTGAACTAGTGGTAGCCTCAAGAGGCCCTAGTTTGCCAAGGCACCCTATCCAATTACAATAGTAATACAGCCACATATGTGCACTACAATTAGTTCCAGGGAGCCCCTCCTTTTGTATAATGCAACTATGCGCTATATATTTGACCAAACTCTTGTATGAAAATTGTAGATTTTGAAATTTAATAAAAGAACATATTTGGACGTTTTAAATGAATCTGATTATTGTGGTAATTAAAAATGAGATTGGTTTTTGTTAATATTTGGTTTCTCTAGGACAATCATAAAACAGTATGTGCTACCTGAAGAACCGGTAGTAAAGAAAGAGGGTGAGGAGAAAGAAATCAAAGATCCCCTCCCAGACAAACTCAAGGCATCAGTGGTGAGTTACATAGTTGTGAGTTGGAGAGTAAGGGGTAAATTTTAAGGGTGCACAAAAATATATATTAAAAAAAAAAAATAAGCAAAATAATCTCACAATAAAATTTCCTCTTGGATGAATCTTTTTGACCCAACTGGATCCTCGTCATCATCTACAATGTTATCCCATTGGGATTACAGTGCTTTTTTAAAATAAACTATTATCCAAAGTTCAATTTGCCTATATATACATTGACTTTTGTTTAATACATATTACAAACATGTTTGTAGTTCCAGGATAGCTAAACAAATTAAAAATAACAATTAATCTTATTTCTGTTTTGTAATTTTATATATAAAATTAACTCTGCTAACATATTTCTTTGTTAACTTAATTTAATTATTTAAGTTTTTTGAATTTCATATTTCTAGAGTGCTCGTCTTCAGTCTGATCTTCTGGTATGCGTCTTCATCGCAATAATTGTGTTTGCCGTTCATAAAAGTACCGTCTTTTCAGTTCTCCAGGTCAGTGGTGATTTTGAATGTGTTTATTATTAATGATTTTTTTTTTAAAAGAGGTAATGATTTATTTATTTGATTTATTTATTTGGCATGGAAAACACTTTGAGTTTACATTAATCATATTAATAAATTGGATTCTAAAATTAATATCTATACACATGAATTGATTGAACAAATAAATTGGATTATTAATTATTGATATATAAATGTATATACAATTACCTCATAAATTATAATAATTAATGAGCACTTATATAGTGCTGGTATTCGTCTTGTGATGCTCATGGGCCTTTAAATCTGCCTACTAAACATTATCCATGTGGAATGCATTTTGGAAGTGATTTTAAGTTATTACTTATTAATCAAATATGTACAATTAGAAATTAAAAAGTTTATTCATTAATGTGACAATATATACAATTCATTATAATTTAAAAAAAATACTGTATATAGGCCTACCAACAACTACTGGATTGTCTAATAATAAAATCACATTATATTGAAAGAAAGAGGAGCGATGAGGTTTGATTGTGAAGTAATTTATTTATTCATTGAAATTCAATGAAATATTTACATAAAAAAATAAGAAATTGTATTTCATATTATATTTATTTCAATCATATAAATTGTATACAGGGACATGTAGGATTTATCCTTTACATCATTGCTGGGGTTGTTGGCTTCGTTGTCCACTATATAATGCCACAGCTTCGAAAGGAGTTACCGTGGTTATGTATTGCACACCCTATTCTTAAAAGCAATGAGTACAACCAGTTTGAAGTCAGAGGTGAGTAGAAGTTCATATTTTATAGAAACCAGTATATTGTTAGTTGAGCGAACTAATATATTTTGTATTTTTGTCTGATGAATAAGATACTGCATTTAAGTTATTAGAAAGAAAAATATAAAAGCTGTCATTGTTTTCATACCATACATTAATATGCTCACTGTTGGGATTCAGTGAACCTGTGTAATGAGGCTAATAAGAATGTTTTGCCATACCTGATGTTTTATGATACTGAATGATCCCAGAATACTTTAAAATACTTGTGGAAACCTGAAGATAACACATCAGATAGGGGAAAATTTATTCCTATTACTATTTTTCCTGACACAAACACAAGATTTTTTGCATTTCTGACTTGTTAGATGCAGCAAAGATAATGGTATTTGAGAAGATCTATGTTTGGCTATGCTTTATCGAACGCAATATCATCTATCCACTAGTGTTCCTGTTTGCTCTAACAGAGTCAGTTCATCACATACAGGGCAAGGATACTTTCAAACCATTGTAAGTCTCTGTATTTGGTTACTCTGTTTAGTAGAAAGCATTGTAGTTAACTTAAAAACTTTAAAAATAATAATAATAATAACTTCATTTTAAAATGGAGAAAACTTGTATCACCATATTGGTGTTTTTCATAAGGCCGATTTTGCAAGAAGATAAAAATGAAATGAAACTTACATTTAAAAAAATAAAGCACATACATACATATTGAAATACATACTGAGATGTCAATCAAAAGTAAAATCAAAGAAAAGTAAAATACTAAAACATTAACATTATAAAGACTGAAGACTAAAAAGTGATGTCATGACAATAATGTAGAACAAGTTTTATGTTTTTTGTTCATTATTTAAAATATTTAATCCTGTCACTTATTTATTAGTCTTTTAAAAGTATAAATATTAGGAGCACTTGTTGCAAAATGATGTACATTGTTTAGGTTATTCCAGATTTCTGCCCCATGATACAAAAACTTTTCTTTTATATTTAATCTTTGGTTGTAAGTGCAAGTTGTAACATATTCAGAATGGATAAGTGAGACTGCTAATTTAAATATATGCCGTAAAATTTTAAAATTTAGTGGCAAAATGGGGGAGCATGTGCCCCCTGTGCCTCCTATTGGATCCGTCTGTATGACACATACTTTACCTTTATTGATAAAATCAGAAAATCATATAAGAAATTAACAGAATGAGAACCGTTGTGAATCGGTGATGCCACACAAATTTCATGAATAAGCAACTGAACTAGACACAGATTTGAAAATGTCTGAGTTTGAAGTACAAGGGCAGTTTAATTTATAGACATCTTTGACTTGTTGATACTGATTACTAGCTGCAATATTATGGAATAATAATATAATTTAATTTAATAATTTAATTTGGTGTTCAATGTGTTCCATATGTGTTTGATCCAATGACCGGGGTAGTAATGTGAAGCGCTTAGAGGCTTTGTTATGGCATTAAGCGCTATATAAGAACGACATATTATTATTATTATTAATGTGTGAGACTGGCTTATGTCTATTTCAGTAAATGACCTATCTTTTTAAAATTTAAAATGCTAACAATGTAAATGAAAAAGTCAATTTTCTTTGTTTTGGTCAGTGATACTGGTTTGTCATGTCAAGTCATATTTCCAACAAGACCCTTTTTCACACATTTGAACAAATTATTAACAAGAACCTCTTTTATTATAGGAGACAGCTATAAAATTATGAAAAGTGAGACCCTTTAAAACCAGTTATCAAGGACATATTCTTTTATCAATGTAGGAGACAGTCTTTTATCAAATTATGAAAAATGAGACCCTCTTATCAAATTATCAATGACACTCTTTTGGCAAATTATTGATCAAAAACTTTTTTATCAAAGAGATTCTTTTAACAGTTCAGAATATATTAATTTTAGTTTCCAGATGCTCTTTGCCATGTTGCTATGCATTTTTAGAATCACCAGAAGAATATTTAACATCATCTTTATTGGTGATAGTGAAATATTTGCTGTTAAATGGTTGAATGTGATTAATTTTGATTTGTTACTTTTATATGCATGTCTAATCTAAGTGCAAAATAATTAATTATTATTTCACATTTTTCTCCATTAGATCTGTGAGTGCTTACTCAAGTTGAAGTTTGTGTTCACATACATAGCTCCTTGGCAGATTACATGGGGGTCAGCCTTTCATGCATTCGCACAGCCCTTCAGTGTACCTCGTATCCTTTGACTGAGATCACATTTTAACAGATTGTGATATTATACAAGGTGTATATTAGTGTATGGAATGAGATAGTAAAATTTTTCATTTAGAGATCAAATGATTATAGACTTATAAGTAGTTAATATAGTTGTGTACCATATGCTAGATAAAGTTTATTTCACAAAGGTTTGATTAATTATAATAATTAGTATTAATAATAATAATAATAATAATAATAATAGTAATATTGTTATGTAGTGCATAATGCAAAGGTTTGGCTCAGCTTGCTTTACGTAAACAAAAGTCAAAGAACCATAATAATGATAAATATAATCATAATAATAATGATAATTGCAATAATAAAATAAAATTAAATCAATTTAATGAAAATAGCGATTGTTGTTGTTATTGTTGTTATAACTCTTTGTCTCTTGAGTAGTTTCTCCTTGTTAAATGTTGTTTATTTCTATTTTTTATGGGTTTTGATGTACTTTGTTAAATTTTTATGTGATTTTAATGTGATTTTAATGTAATTTTAATGGGTGCGAGCTTTTGTAATTTCTTCGTTTTCTTTTTAATGGAGACAATAAATTTTATCTTGTATCTTGTATCTTGTATGAAATATCCTAACACTAAGCAAGAAAAACATTCAAAATGCAGACAAATCGTTTTCATCACACTCACTGGAACTTGTTGTAATATACTATTTATGTGTAGTGAATTCCTTACATATTTGTTATCAGATTCTGCAATGTTATTTTTACAGACAGCAGTGTCTACATTCTTCTCAACTCCTTTAAATCCAATTCTAGGAAGTGCAATATTCTTTATGTCATATATACGACCGGTCAAGTTCTGGGAGAGAGACTATAAGTGAGTTTTGTCATACTGTTTATAATATTAGATATTTGTTTCCTGGTAATCTTTTATGACTGTTTTTGATTTTTTTAAATTATTTTTTTTTCTTCAATCATATTTCTTATCCTTTTCCTTAGGCATTTTCTGTCTAGCACTTTGTCATTCATTTTTGTTATTATTTTTAGTACAAAACGAGTTGATCATTCCAATACAAGACTTGCATCTCAGCTTGAGAGAAATCCAGGTAGGCCAAGCCATGACACAATCTTTTTCTTGTTTCAAAGTCTCATCATTTCATCATATTCATTGGTTCTTATCTGGATTGTATAGTGTCTCAAACTTGCTCTCAACAGGATTGGGGAGCCAGTAAAGCACTTAATTGGAGTGGAGCTGTAGATTGGTGGTTAAGATTCTTGCCTTCCAATCCCAGGGGTCGTAGTTCAAATCTTTCTACTAAAAAATATCTCCACTCCCTAAACCTCATAAAGCATCTTTCCATCCGGTATTTGCTGTTGGATGTAAAGGGGAAAAAAACTATATACATGCACATTATAACAAATATGTTTTTAAATGTTCATGGGTCAGTCAAAGGTGAAATATCAGATTTTAGGATATTTAAATTTTAAAAACGGCCCGACGAACCGATGAATCAATTTAAAAAAAATAGAATTGACAGTATTTTTTTTGGAATGATGATCAGTATTATAACAACAATGCTAATTTTGACATCTTGCAGGATCTGATGACAACAATCTAAATTCCATCTTTTATGAACATTTGACACGTTCACTGCAAACCAGCTTGTACGGTGACCTGGCTTTAGGACGCTGGGGTACTGTACAGGCCGGAGACTGCTACATCCTAGCATCAGACTACCTCAATGCTTTAGTCCATGTTATCGAACTTGCCAATGGACTTGTTACATTCCAACTCCGAGGCCTGGAATTTAGAGGTAAGTGGGAAATGAGCAGGGAAAGTATGCAATGGGGGATAAATAATTTATTTTTTTGTCCGATACCATAGGATGCATTATAATGGACATTTATTCATTCATTCATTCAATTATGTATTCATTTATTTATTTATTTATTAATTCATTTATTCTTTGATTGATTCATTGAATAATTCATTCATTTATTCATTAATTCTTATATGTGGCAAAGACAAGCCAAACCAGTCACTTGTCGCAAATCCTGTTCAGAGATAATGGCCAAAACATGCTGGAATGTCAACATTTTTGAAATCTATTTTATTGCGCTAAACTAACATTTATATATCTATACATCATGCTATGCTGTTATTTTCCCAATTTTTAATGTTAAAACAACAATTTTTAAAGATTTGGTGATAATCTTTGCCTGAGAAATGCCTGAAATCATAAACTTTGAAGGCTGATTTCTCAAATACTGTACTATAAACAACTCTATGTTAAATGCTTGTAACTTCATAAGGAAATATCGGATTTAATAGATTTTTTTACAATTTTGTAGCTCTCATTTTACTCTTTAACGATTTTTGCGACCAGTGACTGGTTTGGCTTGTCTTTGCCACATATTCATTCATTCAAATTGTAGCCTGTAGATAAATTGCATAAAAAATTACAAATATAATTGCACATTAACATAACATCAAATGCACACAGAATTCTGACACTGAATTAACTTATGCAGTTGACAAAAATCACCAGCTGACTTACTAACCTGTCAATTACTCATCTAGGCCTACTCTTAGTTGGTTTCTTAATGATAGTTTTCTTGTAACTGATTTGATTTTGTCTCAATTTGTAGGAACATACTGCCAACAGCGTGAAGTGGAAGCCATTACAGAGGGTGTTGATGAGGATGACGGTATGGCAATTTACTAATCTTAAACATATCAATCCCACAACTCTTAATTCATTCCTAGTCATGGATTGAGGAAGATTAAAGTATTACTTTTCATTTTTGGAGTTGAGTTACATAGCTTGGTGGTTAAGATCCTTGCCTTAACATCTCAGAGTTCGGGATTCAATTCTTCTAAAAGGATTTTTTCTCACAACCAAAAACAACCCCTGCACTTGATAATGGGATCATCTTGAGTGTATGATTTCTGAAGGGATTGCCACTTACTAAAAGTGATTTAGTTGTCTATCCTTGGCCCTTGTACCTAAAGTTTTATAAATAAAAATAAAAATGTATTGTTAAGTTGTGTAAAAAGGTGGTAGCCATTAAAAGTGGAGTTGAGACAGTGAAAAAAATTCTGGTTTTGAAGAACCCTTTAATTTAAAGACTTGCATTTAACTGCCAAATCATGAAATGGCTCCAATTAATACAAAAAATAATTATTCAATTGTGATTTTAGATTTTACTCAATGTTGAAATAAGTATTTACTGTATATATTTTCCTTTAGGATGCTGCTGTTGTACCCCAGGTCATTTCCCACACATGTTGTCAGCGAATGCAGCATTCAACCAGCGTTGGCTAGCCTGGGAGGTGTCTGCCATTAAGTATGTACTTGAGGGCTACAGCATCTCAGACAATTGTGCTGCTTCTATGCTTCAGGTGTTTGATTTGCGCAAGATTCTCATTACCTACTATGTTAAGGTATTGTTACCAAGTTTACCGTAAATTTGTGTGTATTTGTTTTGGCATGAAAAATACCCATTTTGCAGTTTATTCAGTGTCAATATTATATGACAATTATATGGATGAGTGTATTGTGTGTATGCATGCTGTAATTTTAATCAATTTTTTTGAAAAATGTTAATATCAGCTAAAACAATTTTTTTAAAAAATCAGTTTCTGGTTAGGTTATTAACTTATTATTATAATTATAGTTGAAAATTGAATTGAATTGAACTTGTTTGATGCTCTTAGATGAGTTGTTCGGAATTTTAATTGAAATATTGATGTATTTTCCAATTTTATGACAGACATTCTATCTTTAATTCTGAGTATAATCAATTTTGTAGAGCATTATCTACTACGTTGTACGTTCACCGAAAGCTGATCAGTGGGTGTCAAATGAAGCAATCCAAGAAGCCTTTCAGCCGTGTTTAGAAAGGAACTACGCAGACTGTGACCCGACCTTTAACCCTAAAATTGATGAGGATTACGACCACATGAATTCAGGCATCTCTAGACACAGTTTCTGCAATGTGTATTTAGACTGGATTCAGCACTGTACTAGCAGGAGGCAACAGGTTGGTTTCATCTTCACTGCTTCTAGTCGGGATGCTCCGCAGGAAGGCAGGGGCTTTGATAACCTATGGTCTCTTTGGGTATATAAATCAGTTGAAAAAGAACTGATAAAAAGATAGAAAATGTTTTATTTCCTTCAAATTTGTTTGCGATATACAAAATTTTAGTACAAATTTGATAGTGTGACAATAAGATTTGACAATACAAGAGCTCCAGTGCCTTCATATCAAATTCAAACATTGATATTAATTCTATCCAGCTTAGGTTGTATTGCTGTATTGGTCTTTCAGATTGTAATGAAAGTTTTTGTATTGTATTCTATTCTATTGAATTAGTAAAATTTGAAATACATTTTACTTTTCTTTTCCCCTTTAGCCAATCAATTGTGACAAGGACTCATACCTAGTGAGCTTATGCTTTGCTATGTGCGTTCTTGGAAGGCGAGCACTGGGAACTGCCTCACATCACCTTTCGGCAAGGTTTGTGTTGAAGATGACCTTTTTCATTCTAAATTGGGATTAAAATTTTTTAGATGATTTATTTAATTTTTTTCTTCTGAATTTTTTAATGAATGATTTTTAAATATAGTTATTTTGTATTTCTCGAGCAGTAGCTTGGAGTCTTTCCTTTATGGCTTGCACGCATTGTTCAAAGGTGATTTCCGCATTGTCTCCGAGAAGGATGAATGGGTTTTTAAAGATATGGAGATGCTACGACGATGTGTTGCTCCCGGAGTCAGAATGTCTCTAAAACTCCATCAGGTTTGTTTCAATCATTATTTATGAACTTCTGTTAGTAGTGTATTACTGCAGACAAAACAAAAATACTTCAAATATTTGAAAACTGTTAAAAAACGTAGAGGCTGCAGTTGTAACATTGTACCCATGACATGCATACAGTAAGGTATTTTAATTTTAATTTTTTTTGTATCAACATTATTTTAAATAAAGCCCTTAAATTTTCTCTCTAGGATCATTTCACATCACCTGATGAGTATGACAATAATGCTGCCCTCTATGACGCTATATCATCACATGAGGAGAACATGGTGATAACTCATGAGGGCGATCCAACATGGAGGAATGCGGTGCTATCAAATACACCTTCCCTTTTAGCACTTAGGTACAGTATGATGCTTAAATTTAATTCTGATATAACATTTAAAATACATTATAAATTTATATATCTATTTTTATGTATTGTTATTTAGGGAGTATGGAATCTAAACTTATGTTACAGTGATCTAGTTCAATTTTTGGTTCCTGCCTACTCCCTGAGTTGACTGTATGTGTTTGTTTTTATGTTGTTTCTGGCAATTTCAAATAAGAATAAGAACAAGAGGAAATTAGAACAAAAATGCAGAATATTAATAAATATAATTAGAAACTAAGAAGGGTTGAATCAGTCTTCATCTAAAACGATGGACAGCCAATGATGATGACAGTACAACGCTTAGCCAGCTTTTGTGCTATATAAATATTTGTTATTATTATTATTATTATTATTTAAAAAAGAAAGAATCAATGTTTGCATTCCAATGTTTTTTTTTCCCAGACATGTTCTTGATGAAGGAACTGATGACTATAAAATCATCATGCTCAATAAACGTTACCTTAGTTTTCGAGTTGTAAAGGTCAGTTGAATTTGTCTATTTTGTAAGTATTTACCTGCTTAGTCTCAATAGCGTTGCCATAGAGATGTGTGGCTTGCCATGCCAAACCAGCAGTAGTGACCAAAACAAGAAAAATTACATTTGAATACATTCACATAAGCTTTACAATGATAGGTCATTTACTGCAATCAAAATACCAAGTCAAAGTATTACGTCTTCTCTTTACTAAAGTATGCAATACTGCCACATTCTTATGCAAATTACTCAGTTTAACATTTAGCGACAGTACGCTGGTTTTGGGAAGGAAAATCTTATATAGCTTCTGCTATGGTTTTTTTTAATTTTTTTTTTATAGGCTTTTAATACAAACAAATGTATAAGTTCTGAAGCATGTACTAAAACATTTTGATTATTAAAATTGATTTATTCAGGCTGGGAGTGTGATAAGTGCAATAATGGTTATCGTGGGCAGGTTAAAGTTAGCTGTGATGCCATGATGGTGAACAGGTGATTGGGAAGGACATCTTAATCATCACTTGGGATTTTCCAGTGCCTACGATAATCATTATCGCACATGATTAAGCATTACTGCCAGTAGGCAGTGCGTACACTGTTTGGAAAGATTTTCTTCAGTGTACTGCAGCTACCATGGATCCATAGGGATTCAGTTTCAGAGTACTATTTCAGGACTAATGAGTTACTTTATGTTATTTGATTTTATTTTCCCACTCATATTGAGACTCTGCTTTGTCTATCAGGTAAATCGTGAATGTGTTCGTGGACTATGGGCTGGGCAGCAGCAGGAACTTGTGTTTCTGCGCAATCGTAACCCTGAGCGCGGCAGTATACAGAACGCAAAGCAAGCATTACGTAACATGATCAATTCATCCTGTGATCAACCAATTGGCTATCCAATCTATGTTTCACCACTCACTACCTCTTACTCTGACTGCAGCGCACAACTGAACAGCATTACAGGGGGACCTTTGAGCTTTTCTGGTATCAAGGAGACTGTGCTGAAATTATGGACACGGTAGGTTTTACTAAATACTCTTGAGATAAACAATTTCATTAGAATATCTGATATTTTAAGAAATCAAATCAATTTAATGCAAAATTAAAAATCAAATTATTAATATCAATTTCCCCCTTTATTTTTCCCAACAGACTTCACCATAGGTGTCACATGGGGTGCAGCAGTGGCGGTAGTGGTCAAGATGACCGGGACAAAGATGAAACCGACGGCACGCCAGTACAACAGCATTCAATTTCAAATCCAGCAAATGATTCTGGACTTCCCGGCAGTCTACCATCAGAGAACCAGCAAGGTGGCTTCATGCAGACTCCTGCTCACAATCGAGGTAGCCTTACCTCCAGCACAGGCTCTATGGGTAAAACAGGATCTCCATTTATTGTTCTGCCTTCCATGATTGTTGAGTCAGGCAGTCTAAAGGAGACATTGGTACAGCGTGTGAAGGTAATTTGTTATTATATAAGTTGCTTGTCTAAAAATTTACATTGTTATGAAATTTCCACGTAGTGGGATGAATGAAGTTTACTTGTATCCTTGATAATAATAACAATAAAAATATATAAGATTTTATTGCATCCTTAAATCCAGACATTGGTTTTGTTTAGATTGGCTATTGTCTATGCTGTTGAGTGGAATTCAATAGCTTGGTTCCTTCCAATCCCACGGTCCTTTGTTCAATTCCTGTCATGGTAACAGGATTTTTTTTCACGGCCAAAACAACTCCAACTCCCTAAGCCTCATAATGAGACTTAGTTTATGTAGAGCATCTTATGTTTGTCTTGTGGAGGGATATGCCACTTTGAATAGTGATTAAGTTCACTGCTTGGCATATCCTTGTCCTTTGGCCTAAACCAATTAATAAAATGAATAAAATGCACTATAAGCTGCTTCTCTGATTTTTACAGTAAAGTTGACCATCCGTAACAATCAAATGTTTTTCAATTAATTTATACCTTTTGCTAATGCATCTGTCCACCTGAATACACATTTCACCTGTATTTACCCTTCAGTTATCTTACATATTTAATTACCTTTCAGATCAAGGATCCGAGTATGGTCTTCGATACTCTGAACTCAAGTAAACATGTACATTGGCCAGATGACTCGATGCGTCTTACCGGTGGCAAGAATTCATGGAAGGGTTGGTATCCAGAAGAGGGCATGGAAGGCAACGTAGTCCATACATGGGTACCATCTCACAGGGAAGTGGGAAGAAGATCGCACATAGATAAAACTATTTTACTTGTACAAATTGAGAGCAGGTTTGTGGCGATTGCTGAGAGCGGTGTAGTGATTGTAAGTGCAGAAGTGTGAGATATTGAGACTGGGTGAGGTGGAAGATGAACAATGTGCAATGCAGGTGTTTGATAAACAGTGGTGTACTTTAGTGGACATGTCATTGTATTGCTTTATAGCATTAACAAATTTATTTGAGAATAAAGAACTATATCTGTAATAAGAGCAAATAAAGTTTTTTTTAGGTGAATTCAGTTTACAAATTTTGTAAGTAAATACTTATGTTTAATAATGTTATGTTTATCACTAAAATGCTACCACATAATGTCATAAAAAAAGGTTTTATAAATTTAGCATCAACCGAGTAGATATTCAAGTACAGTAATCCAAATATTATTTATATATTTGTTGATTTTTTATTTTTTTTATTTAATAAAAATTCTAAATTGTATTGTGGTTAGAATATCCAGTTTGCTTAAAGTGTGTAGCAACATGTGGTGAGAATAGGGTGATATGCACGGGGTGGCTTTGTTGATATTGATGGTGAGGGAAGCATATTTGACTGACTGTCGATACTGGATGTAAGAGTGAAAGAGAAAATGAATGAGTGGATGTTGTTGCTATCGGTTAACACGACATCGATAAGATTTATAAGCAAGTCTTTATCGTTACATGATGTATAGCAATCAGGGAAACAACAGTAGAGTAAAATGTTTTGAAATGTTTGAAATTTAAATATGATTGGCTGAAACAATCCAGCCATAGAAATAATTTTGGTTGAATTATAAATCCTCTATTAACAATAATTCAATATATTAGTGATTTTTAATAAAAGTATACATAAATGCCTCTTCCCATCAAGTTACATGCCAATATATAATAATACTTATTAATATTCCGATTTCATTCTTTAAGAAAAATGATAGGAAAGAAGATAAATATATCTGCACTTTTTTGCCTTTAACACAAAGAAAAAACAGGCAAAAAACTTAAACAATAATTTTTACGCAAGTAAAGAATGTAGGACAATTTAATATGCCCGCAGTTAAAGAATAAAGAGATAATATTAAATTTTTTGTAAGAAGGAAGAAAAATTGCAAGTGAGTATGTCAAAATCTGAACTAGTCACCATTTTGTATCAAGTTTATAAAACTGCTATTGGTCTTTTGAGGAAAATGCAAATCTTTTATTTAAATGATACACATGTGCTTGTGTTTGTATTTTTTTGTTGTCCTGTTATCTGTGTACATTTTTAAGAACATATTTTAGTAACCCATTTTTAAAAATTGTCATGAAAAATTGAAATTTAGAAAAAAATATTTTCATTTTTTATTTGCCACAGTTTTGCTGATGTGTGTTTGTCATTATATTTGTTTTTTCTTCTTGAAATATTAATTCCAAATATTGATTTATTTATGAAGATAAAATATGCAACTAATGACTTTTCTAAATGGTCCTTGAAGGGTGTAAAAATACTTTATTATTTATTAGTGTGAGTTCAAGCTATGATGTCTTGTATTCCGAAACCCATTCACAGAATGCAAGTAATTCTATTTTATCATGTTTGTACTATTTATTAATTTATTTTATTGATTGTGATCTGTGATGAATTCTCAGGTTTGGTTTAGACAGAATAAACCAATTTGTAGTTTGTCAGGTCAATCAACATAAACAAACATACACAACATAGGTTTATTTCGATTCACCTTGGATACAGACATGCGCAGGTCAAAATATGAATTGGCTTATGGAATCGCTCTACTTCCAAACACATGCAATAATTTGTAAATTCTGTTACATTATTTGCAGAGAGTTTTCTGTGCATGTGGCCCCAGATTTACTCATTTCATTGGTTGTTGGAATAAGATTGGTGAAAACTAGTGATACAGTAGTAATATTTTATCAAGAAAGCTATGGCTTCAATACAAGGATATGGGAGATTATTTAATATAGGTGTAAAAATGCTTGTTGCATTCTGAGATTAAAATGTTTATTTTCTCCATTTTCAATTCCACAATTATGACCATGCTCAATTGAGACGTAGTACACTCATTTATCCATGGATATTTATTTATTAATTCATCAAGAAAAAGAAAGAAAACAGGAAACATTTAGAACACAATTTTATTTTCACATGAATATTTTGACCTGATCTAAGGTTCTCTTCAGCCTGATGAATTTATAATCACTATGTACAAGTTGGCATAATAATACTTAATTAGTAATTGGCGAGTGATTTTCCCCCTTTTGTTTATAGCAACTTGTTCATAGGCCCAATCACATATTTTGCTATTATAATTAACTCACTCTGACCTATTACTAATTAGATATTATGGCAAATGCCAAGTTATACATAGTACTTGTAAATCAGTCATACGGAAGAGGACCTGGGGCAAGGTGAAATATTCATGTTTTCTTTCTATATTATCCTTATAATGAACATGAACCCCTCTTCATATTTTACATATATTTGCCATATGTTCCATTGTTTAATTTTGTTATATATAAATATATATAATATGATGTAGGCCATGTATATATATATATAATATATATATATAATATATATATATATATATATATATATATATGCAACAAACATTTTGACTACTCCTGTAGTCTTTGTCAATGCTTGAGATAAAGTGATGTAAATGATATACATTATATACAAAACGTAGGTATGTACGTACATACATGCATATCCTACACCATAAGTCGATCATTTTATATTTTGGAAATTCAAATCCATAGAAATATCTATTGAAATATAAATACAAAATAATTGCCAATAATTCTTTTGTTAGTCATAAGTAGTGGTTGATCAAACCCAGTGGTTGCAATCAGAGGTGAACTGTATGGTAAATTGAAGAATGTACTGAGGGTTTCGAGGTAATCCTTATAGGTCTTGCTTCCAAGAGAAAATATTTCAAAAAATAAATAATTTTTATTCTCATCAATTCACCTTTACTAATGTAAGAGAAGGTTTTAGCAATATGTACTTCAACCGTACGTTGCCTGTCGACCACAGGTATACATCATAACTTTTAGTTAATTTTTGCCATACTGTTGGTCAAGGTCTAATTTTGGATTCTCTCGTTTTAGTTAATATTTTCATCCTAAACATGTACATTTATCAAATTAGACATACTGTATCTTATAATATCGGACATTATGTATGCTGATTAATTGGAACTTAAAATAAGATTGTTTTTGTACACTTACAAACTATGATGTGGCACATTTAGGGACAGCCTCAATGTTGTGAATAAATAGGAATTATGCTGTGGCTCTGTTGGAGGTATGCTTTAATGCATCCCTAAATTAAAAGCTGAAACACGATTTGCCAGCACTGATTCAACCATGCATAAATGTTAAGCAGCTGAGATGGACTAAACTGCGATAGGCCTACTGATTTTTAAAATAAAAAGAATTACAATAATAATAGTAATGGTAATAATTATTGTATTACAGTCGAAAGCTCAAGTAAGTTCTTAAGAGAAATTTTTCAAGAGTTTAGAGTTATTAAAACATATAATAATGCCATCTTGTGTAGGCCTATATCGAGTTTTCTAAAAAACACAGCATCACAGTTTGTGTATGTCGTATGCTTTGACCACTAAATGATAACCATTTTTCATTATTTTTTATGTTTAGTGTTTCAGATAGTGAGTTTGGCTAGTTTTTGTATTTCGTTTTTTTTTTTTTTTATGATCGAATCATTATGAATTATTGTGATATGGGAGAATACTGTATATCTCAACAAATCAAGACAGAGTATAAATAGCTTCATATTATATTTGTACGAATTGTAAGTAATAAAATAAAATTTCTAGTTATACAAAGTTAAGTATTTGTCAAGAATTATTTTTTAAATAAATGTAAGTTAGGCCTAAAAAAAGTTTGTTTGCCCTTCCTAGTGAAAACTTGCTGGGGCAGATCCAGAATTTTTCAAATGGGAAGGGGGTGAGGGGCGCCACAACAGTTTCAGAATAAATAAGTGAGAGCAAATAACATTGGTAGGCATTGAATTTTTTAAAAATTTAGTGGCAAAACGTGGGGGGGAGGGGAGGGGAGGGCGGCACGTTCCCCCTACTGGATCCGCGCCTGAGGAGTTGCGAGTGGGGAGTTTTTTGTATCACCATTTGAGGGCCGGACAGGGGTTTCAATTTTAGTGTCTACTAGTATGTGGAAAATACATATACATTTTTTTTCTTCCTGGCAAATTGTGGTTTTTCTTCTTGGCAAATTGTGGTTTTTCTTCTTGAAGGGTGGCCCTGGCCGCATTATTTTTTCCCCATACATTTCAGGCAGAAATTATAGAGGGCACTATTTAAGGTCATTTAGGTGAACTGATAACATGAATAATGCATGCATGCTTGACACTTCTTCTGACGGATATGTGGCATATCCGCAGGGGGCTGCAGTCAGTAATTCTTGACACTTGTGATCCGAGGCTGCTGAATTACGGACTTGTATAACCAATAAAAATTAAAATTTGTATAACGAAAGTGAAGATGTTTATGTTGCAGTTCATTGAGGCACGATAAAGAAAGAGACTGCTTACATAAATTTTATGTACATGTAAGCAATTATCATAAGCTTGTTTTTATCTTTGTTTTGGTTGCGGTCGGACTCGAAGAAGCAAAATACAATAGGTTCAGCGAAGCGAGATTGCGCATGCGCTAGTAATGTCTTCAGACACTGTAATGAATAATTCATGAATTTTTGCTCAACTTACCTACGATAAAAAAATATGGCACTCTGGGAAGCCCTCGGAGGAGGACGTCACTATCCTAACGGTCAAGAGCACATTCAAGCATCACACACGATTGTATATACCCCAAGCGGGGAAACCAATACCGATAAAGTACCTTTTTTGCTATTTACAATATAGGCGCTGTGAGCGAAAGGCTTGCCAATGTTGTATGAGTTAGCCTACTGTTGGAACAACTGGTGACGGACTTAATTGTTAGCGCAAATAGCGTGTGAGAGGAAGTTCGCATGGTATACGTTTTGTGTGAACCAAGTACTCTCACATCTAATATTTGTGTTAATATAGATTATGAATAATGCTAGCTAGGATATAGGTAGAAATTTTAAACGTTTTTAGTGAAAGGTGCATGACAAATTCTATACACGCATGGGATAATTTGCTGTGGCATTCCTTTTACCGTACAGTATCACCAGCCATATTTGCATATCATTCTAATTTGGTTTTATTCACAGGTGTTCATTTTCATTGTTAATTGTGCGATATTTGTACGCAATTTAAATAGGTGTTTTGATCAATGCAATTATAGCCTGTTTGTATGAATTGTACTTTAACCAAATTTTAATTGTATTTTTCAAGATCTTTCTGAAATTTTTCGTGTAGTCTTCATCTTTGCAGTGACATTGGCAATTTTTATATTACTATTCTTTGATTTTACTACTTTGTATTAATACAGACAGTTCGCAATAATGCCTAGATTTAAACGAGTCTTCATTAATTATTGGGTTTTTTTTAAATAATCGATGACCTTTGCACCGAATGTTAGTGAAAAACTAGCGAAACGTATTATAAAAGCTGGAGGTCACGGAATGTCAATATTACTAAATCAAACTTGGGAGATATTAGGGGCTTTGCAATGTATGATTTCACTGGTTATTTTGACTTTTTATCAAATACTGTGCTAAATGGTATTGGGGAGGGGGATTGTATACAGAAACCCTTCCTTCTGCCACTTTTAAAGACTTGTATATAGAGAAGCCAAATTAACATCAGCCTCACAAGCAGTTGGTGAATCAATTGAAGACTGGGCAGATAGATAGATACCGGTAAGTACCTTTTTGGCTTTTTGCAATAGAATGAACTATCGCAACAAGGTCTATCTTGCAAATAAGATGTTATTCGCACTCCCGTTCGCGCACGCCTTCGTTAGTTCCAGTTTTTACATCTCCCTGGTTCCAGGTGTTAATTATTTTACTCAGTGAATTGTGTGAAATATAAATTTTATTGCGCTTAGTGCGCACCATACCAAATTAAATTGGCGTCCCATACTCCGTTTCTATTTAAGTACCGTGCGATTTAGTCATCGTCTTCTTCGGATCGTGTATTCAAAATGGCCCATTGGTTCCATCGAAATCCCCTCAAAGCTTCGAATGTCTTGAGTTTTGATCTTGGAATTCAAGCAAGTACACCGCTAGCCCGAAAAATATGCAAGTATGTGGTTATTTGTTTATAATATAGCCTAGGCCTAGGCCCTAATTACTAATAATATTCTCTAGGCCTAGGGGCCTAGGCTAGGCCTATCTAGTATAGAGTAGGCCTACCAAGGCCTAGGCTAGGCCTAGTACCTGTACAGCCTAGGCTTATGCCTAGGCCCCTCTTTCTAGTAGGCCAAGGCCCTAGGCTAGGCTAGACCTATCGTCAGCAGTAGGCCTTAGTTAGGCCTAATGCCCGCCTAGGCCTAGCCTCTCTATGGTTCCTGTTCAGTGTTAGGCCTAGCCTAGGCCTACTAGGCTAGGCCTAGGCCTATCTATTATATTGTGTAAACTACAATAACGGCACTAAGTGTTCAAGTGTCTAATACAGTGTAAACTAGTAGTATATGAATTGATTGCAGAAAGACAAAATCAGATATGTAGGCCTACATGTTTTGAATTGAAATATATTATATGTGCTGATAGTGAAACAAGAGATGCCAGAGCATCGCTGATGCAGCTTCTACCAGATCCGGGAAACGAGGTAACAGCAATCCAAAATGCCACAGAGAAATACTTATCATTACTTGAAGGCTTCATTGTTGCACCAGAAGGAAGTAAAACGCAGACCACAAACCCACAACAGCAGACACTGGATGCTAATGACCAAACGAGTCTGCAGGATTCTGCGGGAGCCTCCGGTGGAGCTAGTGGAGGAGAAAGCAACCTGAGGCATGCGTTCAAGGTGAAGTGGTCAAACACTTTGATATCTAAAATCATGTAAGTCTTCTTGGTTTGATCATTCCAATCCGAAGTTGTCTCCTCTCCCCTTGCATTTTATTGCAAAGTGTATGTTCAATTTGATAACATAAATGTTAGTTTGGTCTGGTCTTTACCCTTGTGCTTGAGAATTGAACTTGGCAGCATTGTATTAATAGTTTGTTAAATGCTTCGAAAGATAATGGTGCCAAATCTTGAGATTGTCTGTACCCTGCAATTGTATGTTAAAGCATTACTGAATTCCAAAGCCTATATGCACACTCATTGGGTAGTTTTCTAGAATTCGATCCAACTCGGCCACAAGTTATATTTGAAATATTACTAGGTAATATTGTATCATTTAGCTTTACCAATAATAATGCATTTGAACTTTTTACCCCAGAGAACAAAAAGATCTTTTGTTTGAGAAAATCAGCATCTTGAGCAATGTAGCCCTGTGGTATACCAAGCATGCTGCAAAACTTGCAGGTAGCAAAGAAGAGTAAGTCATACATTTTGTTCAATCAATTTTAAGTAAGTTTTTGGTTAAAATGATTTTTTGATGTTAACGCTAAACAGGGTAAAAAAAAAGTCTTGCCTAAAATAATATAGGTCTAAGAAGATTCAACTTATCAATCATAATTTGAAAATGTGTTACATTACAATAGAAGTGTTTCTTTTAAAGGGTTCAGGAAGATGAGGCAAAAGAACTTCACCGTGCGTTGCGAACTGCTGCTGGGATTTTCAAATATATTCAGGTTTGTATCCGTGTGGAATAATAGACCTAGTTAGTCAACAAAGCTAGTATTGTATAGTAGTTATAACATCAAAACACACCACTAGGTGGCATTTTTTTCATATAAAATAATAAGGCTCTGCTCGAATATATGTTGACTGTTTTTAAACACCTCAAACTTGTTGATTTGTACATTTTAACGCAAGTTAAATGGTAAATGTAATGGTAAATGTTCCTAAATAAGCTCCGGCAGTTTTGACCCATTATAAAAAATGTGGGATTCATCAAAAATAGATTGTAATCAATGTTTAATTTCATATGATTTATTACAACCATTTATATGAATATGCTACTTGCCTTCGGACCTCAAGGTCTGGGGTTCAAATGTTATTTAACTTTTAGCACACATCTTATAGTTTATGTAAATTATGTTGGCATTTGATGAAAAACACAAAACGAGAGCAGTCGCTCCATAGGGTGAATTCTTCCACCCTTTGCCTAAATACCGAACAAGACTAAAACGAACTTTAGTCGTAGTTCGAGCTAAAACTTCAAAATTATGTATTATTTCGTATTCTTAAAACGAACTTTAACTAGCACTACGACTAAATCACTTGAACCTCGACTAAAATGATACCTCCGCAGCCCAATTATTTTAGTCAGCCTAAGGTCAGGCTAAATCACCGACTTGAAATATTTACCCCACTAAAAACATGCTTTTTGTAACTTACTATAGAGTAAAACGAATAAAAACGATTGTATGGGTAGGTCTGATGCATCTTCGGTGTGTTCAACAAAAGAGACGCCAAATTTAGCTTCCAAAATGCGAAAATAACATGTTTTGCTAGCCACATGTGATAGTTCCTGATTTGAACGGAATCCTCTCGCGTTGTTGCAATTTTTCAGTGCCTGTTCAAATTCCCTGTCGTTATGCTAACGAATAGAACTTATTATAGAAAATTAATTAAGTAAGGGAATGATGGTCTAATATGAATTATGAGGAAATACGTTTTTGAATGACAGACAGCAGCTTAATATTCATCCGCGTTACCGGATCTCTAAAATTTTGTCTGTTATTAAAGTGAGCTCTTTTCACTGATTGGTTTGATAGTCATTGCTTGCCCGCCGTCTTTAGCTGAACTAAAACTGGGACTTGAATTAGTCGTATTTAGAACTATACAAATTTAAGTTTAAGTTGCAACTAGGACTAAATGAAGTTCTTGTTCGAAGTTCGTAAGTATAGTGGACAAAGTCGGTCCTAAATCACTTGTCTGTGGCTTATTAAGTATTAGACAGTAAGGGGTAACATATTATGTAGAGGGAATGGAAATAATGTTAAATTAAATGTTAGAGATCAATATGCACCGAATATTAATGAGTTAATGGAAATCATGTTAAATAATATTCAAATCTGGTTTACTGCATAGCACTGTAGCACAGTGTAAACCCAGAGTGCAGTCACTCTATAGTAACTCCATAGAGTGCCTGCACTATGTAGCCAAGTATATTTTACCAAATACTGTATATTTAGTTCCTAAATCTGTCAACTGCTTATTACTGCTTATTAACTAACAGAGGGTATAGTGAATAGGAAGAAGTGTGTTGTTTACTTATGTAACTGGTTCGTTGTATTTGTGTTAATTTATTGCTTTATTTGTCTAGAAAATTGTGTTTCAATTCGTCAGCCAACCCAATTTTAATTTTTATGCTCACTCGCTTAATACATTTACTTAAACAAACATGAAATAAATGCTTTGAAATTAAAATATTCAGGCTTTTAAAGCCAGTCCTGATGTAAACAAGTCAGTTAGTGAGCTGTTAGTTCACTGTTGTATCAAATTATGTTGCTGAGTTTGGCACTGATTAGTAGGCAGACTGCCAAATATGCTTGTAAATGTGTATATTAGCCTATATAAATGCCATATCTTCTGTATACCAGGGTGACATCTAATAGCTTATACACTTATACACCAGTACTTATGAAGTTTGTATATTTAATGTTATTGTTAATGATATTGAAAAATGTTTTATACATGATTTTGTCATATAACTGTAATTTAAAAATCTTATTCCTACAGGTATTGTACTTATTGTACTTATTGACACTGTTTAGAATCAGAAAGTGAGAGATTAAGGTTGAAATAATATGGAATATGAATGTATGAATTTGTATGAATACTGAGAATGAAGTCAAATCTGTACATTGTTGATGACCTCCAGTTAAGTCTTTTATTTTAGTGGAAAAGTATAATTTATTTTTTAATTAATTTTTTTTAGGAGAAACTTGTTCCACAGTTGAAGGAAGAGGCTGTTTCTATCTCTGATCTTGATACAAGAATACTGAGTGCATACACCTTACAATGTACAGCTGAGGCCCAAGAAGGTGACTACTATCCACGATGATAATAATAATAATAATAATTGGCAAAAATGTATCTATATCTGTATCATTACTGCACTTGACCTCAGTATTGAATAAAGCATGCATGCACTGAAGGGGTCCCAAGTTGGAAGAAGTCATTTTTGGGAGATCTACACAAGCTTTATTTAAACATCTAATTTTTTTTTGTTAGTTATGGTGATACCATTCGATGCTGTGAGACTAATGATAATACAGTAATACAAACATGCAGATTTAATGAATTGCGGGAGATAGGTTATTTTCCAGGAGATTATTGTCCGAGTGCAGGAGACAATCCTGATTTCTGGGAGACTCCAAATGTGCCTGTGACAATCCATGGTCCCACACATTACTTGTTCAAATGAATTTAAAAAAAAACCCTATACAATTAGAAACTAAGTGTTATTATTTTTTTTAAATAGTTTTATTATATTTTAACATTTAACAGTCACATTAGCACGAGCTATTGAGTTGGATCACAAAGCAAGTTTGATATCAGCTCTGGCGCATGAAACTGCAAGAATGTTCCAAAAGGCACGTGATTCATTAAAGAGTATTGAAGACCCTGCAGTTACAAAGTGGAGCCTCTACTTCAACCTCAAGTTTGCATTCTATCTCTCATATGTAAGTATTGTAGTTTGGTGGTCAGTGTACTAAACCTACAATACCATGGTTTGATAATCAATCACTCGAGTTGTGGCCTCTCCTATAGTGTGTCATTCTATCATTCTTAGGGTTTCAATGAATTCCTTCCACCTTGACCTTTTTGTATTCTAGTGCCACTGATCTTGATATTTTTGATCTTCTTTTAACCAGAGAGCAGCTAGCTCATTTGGCTAAACTGGTGGTAACAACTGTGTGTGTATGTGCTGAACTTTCAATTGGATTAAGTGGGTAAACACCAAGGATAGCCCACGAAAGTTTTGAAGAAGACTTATTTCCAGTGGGGTCCTTCTGGTGGGGATTGAACAGTACACCGTGAGACAATCCCTTACTCTTTTCCGAAGATTGTACTGCGTTCTTTAACGTGCAAATGGGCCATAAATGCACACAGTACCAACGGCTTAAACAAACGTCTCATCCGAAAGACGGTGCGCTATTGTAACTTGTATTTCATCCCCCTAGCTGAAACACAATTAAGGAGAGGCAGCGATGGGAATTGAACCGGGGACCTAGAGATCTCCACGGTTCAGCGCACCCACAGTGGCTACCACCAGAGTAGCCAACTGAGCTAAGCTGCTCTCTAATTGCCATTTCTACTCGCATGTTTCAGCTGGCGGGCTGAAATTCAAGTTTTAAAAGCGCACCATCTTCCGGATTAGACATTTAAACTGTTAGTCCTGTGTGCAAAATGTCCCATGTGCATGTTAAAGAACACAGTACACTCTTTTAGAAAAGAGTAGGGGATTGTCTTCCTGTTTGCTGCCCAATTTACCACCTGAAGGACCCTGCTGGACATATGTCTTAGGACTTTTTTGAGTTCTGTATTACACCGAAGAATTCCAATCCAATGCTACTCCATCTCTGTGCCTAACATCTTTCTTAAACTTATTATTAATATTATGTTTATTATCAAAGCATTTTGAGTAGCAGGACCATTACCATTACTATTGTTACCATTACTGTTGTTTTTGATGCTTCATCATTATCATTGATGTAAATTTTTCTGCTTTTTTGTGGTTTTATTGTTTTTTATATATTATATTTGATTCATGTTCTTTAGTGTTCAATGGATTTACAATTATTTAGACAGTTCATTATATAATTTGCTCTATAATACAATACTGCTACTAATTATAGAGTACCACAGTCATGTCGTCACAACGCCAGGCGGCGCCCTCTGTCGCCAACCAGACGTTGGATACCGTTTATCACGCCTGAATGACTTCATAGCCTTTCTGGAATAGGCATTTTAAAATTTAATATTTTACCATCAAAATGTACTTAAAACACAAAAGCTTGCATTATATTAGTTATCGAACACACATTTAATCTTCAATTAAAAATTTACAAAGAAAAACTAAGATACAACATCTTAATAATTACGTTAGAAATTGGGATCACTAGTTTTTCAGTGGAGAAAATCTCGTCCGGTTGAACGCATTTTGCAACAATAGCAACAGAGTAGTATCACATGGTATCGTGACGTAACACTGTAGTCCTCTATACTAAAAAACTATTTTTTATCTGAATTCCTAATTTTTTTGCAGGCTCATTGTTACAATGGCAAAGAGTTACTAAATAAAGAAAAGTGTGGAGAAGCTATTCGTTCGGTTAAGGAAAGTGTTTCAGGTAATTATGTATTTTCATATTATATTCTTCATGAACATACCGTAACTAGACTTGACATGCCTCATTATGATAATTTGTTTTATTTAATATCATTAATAGATACAATAATTAATTCTTGAATTTTTCTTCCAGTGTATGAAAAAAGTAGATTACTGTGTGAAGAGTATGCTAAAGCAAAGGGCCCTGGGACTATTGCAAAGCCAGAACAACACTTGTTCTTTAGAAGGTTTGGTTCAGAAGTGAAAAGAAATCTGGAAAAGGTGGAAAGAGAGAATTCATTCATGTAAGCCATCGATGCCACAAATATCTTTAGATTTCTATTAAGTGATGGAAAGCAGCTTGCGTGTTTCTTCTGAATAAGTGCAGCAATTGCTGTGATTTTCAGCCAGAGGGTGCATGTTATGTTGGAGTTTGGTTAAAATCATTAAATGTATGTGAATGTGTTTGACAAGTATTGCACACTTAGCTAAAATAATACTTAATTTACATTATTCAATCAGATATTATCAGAAGGTTCCAGAAGAGATACCTGAACTTGAGTTAAAGGCTACATACGGATTGGCCAGCCCTCAGGAGTTTGACTCGCCCAGCTTAAGCCCGAACTGGACCCCTCAAATCTACGAAGGTTTCCACATGTCACCCTACTCCGCCCCACTTCAAGTAAGTAATATTTTAATTTGTGCATGCCGTCTTTCTGCCATTGGTTATGCAAACACAGCTTGGATGCTCTTTGTTTTTTAATGGGCATGAAATATTTTTACTATCAAATGCTTGTAGTGTAAATCTAAACTTCCACATTATCAAGTTGTATATGGCAAATTTGTGTGAATTGCCCATATATGGGCATGATGTCATATCAAACTGATATACAGTAATATCGAAGTTTCATTTCATGTTTGATCAGATTTTTTAAGGTAGTTTAAAGCCTTGTCCTGTCTATAATTTTATTTGACTAAAACAAGTGACATGCCTAAATATAGTTATGATGACACATCATGACCACAAATTCACAATATGTATAATTGGATTGTAAATTTGTTAAATTTCTTTTTTTGTATTGTTGCAACCGTAGGTGTAATTTTTTCCTATACAGTAGAACCTCGATTTTACGTACGGTACCGGATCGGAGGGTGTACGTAAATTGGAGGATTCGTAAAATTGAGGTTGGGTTAAATTTGTGGTAACCTTTGACCTAATACGTATGTAACGCTCATTAAATGTGAATCTACTTATTTGTCCAATGTAGAAATAGCAGTGAGTACATTTTGGGTCATTAAAATTGTATAAAAAAAAAACATTTGTTCTCGGATAAGGACTTACAATGGAGGTCCAGATCCCATTGCATCTTCTGGAAGAGTAAGGGGTTACCCCGATGCTGTGGTTCGTTTTAGCCCATGTCGTGGAATACGCAAGTCAAGTGGCTAAGCGGTTAAGGCAGATGTGGAACATGCAGCCATAATATCGACGCTGGTTTGAACTGCATGGCTCTAGTGGTGGAACAAGTCTTCTCGGCTAAGGACTATAAACCGTAGGCCCAATGTACACACTTTGGCTCATTTTAAAGAACCTAGTACATCAAGGGAGTTACCCCTGAGTACTGGTCCATGCAGCCCATGTTGTGGACAGATGCGAGTAGCTGGTATTGGCTTACCAGGTAGCTCAGACATGAAGAGACTCTTGGGAAGAAGCAAGTTACTGTATGAGCCAATCCACACCTTGTGTGCTTTGGGACTTAACTATAAAGCTCTTTATGAATCTAATTACATTTGCATTATAATGCAGAATAGGGCTACACTGAATTTTGTTAAAGAATTGTGTAATAAATGTATACAATCTGGAAAAAATGCTCATTTGTAAGGGTCAGATCAAGTTCCAATGAGATACTTAACATTGCGTTTATCAATGCTTATGTTATTTGAAGAAGAATGCCGATTTTCATTTTTCAAATGATGTAAGGATTCTAAGCATTGATAACGGTTTGTTTTCACAGAACCAAAAAACAGGGAATCCAACATGAGGCAGTGGCAAGTCAGTAATAAGCAAACTTAATTCAATATACTGTATATTTGATTGGCTACTACTAATGCTTAATTCATGGTTTCTGTATCTAATATACTTATGCAAATAATTAACCGTCATTAATATTAATGATACATGGTTGAGTAAATTAACATGGTATCCCATTACTTGAACCAGAGAACAGTGAAATTACTTGTAAATTTTTGTACCATTTGGTCATCTGATTACTATAGCCAATACAGTATATGCGGTAGAGGATTAGTGTCAGGAAAAGGAATAATATACAAATATTGAGAGAGGGCAATGGTGAAATCTATTTTCCCACGAGAGAAGATAGACTACTACGGTCTCCACATCACTGAGGTCGGGGCTATAGATTTCACCGTTCCCAAAATCTAGAGCAGTCAATATCTGTTTTGTATACCTCATACATAGATCCTACGATACCTAAAAAAAGTTATGAAAATAGTACACACCAAGTAGGCCTTGGCTTACTTCCTAGGCCTAGGCGATCAAAAGGCCAGTCTCTCTCAGTGAACGTTGTAAAGCCAGCCAGCCTTCCTTCCTTCCTCCCTCCCTCCCTCCCTGTGATAATGGTGGTGGTAATGGCAATCTTATTTATAGCGCGTAATGCAGATTGTTACCTGACACATGCTTATTGCTCAAGTCTGTTAATCTTATAATACATGTTTGATTGGTTTATCATCAATGTGCCATTTATACAAAGTAATAATTAGCATGATTTTGCTTTATTTTTGCAGAAGGATGAGCAAGTTACACCTGTCAAAGAGAAGGACATCAAACCAACGGATAAAGAACCAAGCAACAACAGTGGCTGTGTTGTCTCATAGATCATCTCTGTAATCATTTCATCATGATCTTTGTCACCAATATTATAATATTATCTTTATCAGTGTTATATTTATCACACCTATCATCATTACCATCACTCTCATCATTATCACCATTTCATAATAATCTTTGTCAGTGATAATATACAGTGCACCCTCCAATTCGAGACCCCTCTAATTCCGAGACCCCTCTAATTCGAGACCACTTTTTCAAAGATCTAAATAACAATCTTCAATCTTTTAACACAAAGCTAGCCCTCTAATTGGAGACCAATCGTGATACCATCGCAGATTTTCAGGTCCCAAGAGTGGTCTCGAATTGGAGGGTAAACTGTAATAATCACAAAATATCGTCTTTATCTCTTTTTTCATCACATATTAATCTTTATCATTGTCATCATTTCATTGTCATCACAGCCTCCATTACCATAATCATTACCATCACTATCAACATACACCATCATTATCATAATAATGATCTTCATTCATCATCATCATCATTAGCATCTTTATCTTCATCGTCAGTGTTGTCTTCCTTATCGTCATCACTTCAGCCTACGTAGCCGACTGCAGAGTGATGATCTCTCCAAGCTGGTCTACTTGTATCTTTTGCACCACTTTTTAAAGTCATCCTGTCAATATTGGCTTAATGTTATTAGATATAATATATTTTATAGTGTTTGTAAATAGTAAAAAAAGGATAATGTTATATCAAGATAAATATATCCAGTGGTAGACTGATTTTTAATACTAATAAAAAAAATTATAGTTATGTTTGTAATTTAATCTAGATAGTGTCCCAAAGATGCATGGGTGGCCATTAGTTTACCTTGTTAAACATTCTAATGTTTTATGCTATAATTCACTGCTCCTAAACCCTGAGGTTACTCAATAATGGGGGGGGGGGGGTGTCACTGACAGCTGTTTCCCTGCTTCTTTTCTGTCAGTTTCCCTTTTTTTACCACCCATATCCTCAAGTGTTCCCTGCACCAGTCTCCTTCCACTATTTTGAATTCTTGAATAGACTTTTGCTGTCATTGTTGAGAGTAGTTGAGTCAATTTTCAGTAAAAATTGTCTGGAAAAAAACAGCCAGTCTGTTTAATACTAATAAAAAAAATTATAGTTATGTTTGTAATTTAATCTAGATAGTGTCCCAAAGATGCATGGGTGGCCATTAGTTTACCTTGTTAAACATTCTAATGTTTTATGCTATAATTCACTGCTCCTAAACCCGGAGGTTACTCAATAATGGGGGGGGGGGGTTGGGGTCACTGACAGCTGTTTCCCTGCTTCTTTTCTGTCAGTTACCCTTTTTTAACCACCCATATCCTCATGTGTTCCCTGCACCAGTCTCCTTCCACTATTTTGAATTCTTGAATAGACTTTTGCTGTCATTGTTGAGAGTAGTTGAGTCAATTTTCAGTAAAAATTGTCTGGAAAAAAACAGCCAGTCTGTATTTGTATAATTCTTTAATTTGCACACCAAATGTCAGTGAAGGTACTGATCTGAGAAATGTTGGCAATATCCTAGATTAGCATCAAATACCGTAAAGCCTTTGTTTAGATTTAGTTTGTAAAGATCTAATGAAATTTATAACAATTATCATAAGATTAACATTAATCATTTATTCATACATCAATACAACTCATATCTAGAACATGGGGAGATAGCATTGAAAGATAGCAAAAGTAAATAAAATTCTGTATTTTCAAATTATTTATTAACATTATATTTATTTTTATTGTTATTCATTATTTTTTTTAGGTGAAACTTTTAATAATTTTTCCCACTCCATGCTGTAAAGCGCATGGTGGTATTTTACATTATGCGCTATATAAATTGACAATTATTATTATTATGAAACAGTGTTGTTAATTTTTAAATGGAAGATCATGCGGCCACAGTAAATCATCATAGAAAGTGTATGTATGCATTTGATGTGGCTTTAGAAATCTAATTACAAGAGAGTAAATAGCGGGCTTGTGATTTATGTGTTTAATGTAACATGGTGACTAATTCCTAGAGTAAACTCTTGTTCTTCTTTCTAAATAATAAGAAAAGTAATATGCATTGCACTTGCGTTTGAGACCACATAATTTTATAAATCACGATTATAAGGGAATATATAAATCGTACCAAGAACAAATTATTGTTTCAGTACAGGTATATGTAAATTTGTTAAATTTTAATAATTAAAATAATTTTAATATATGAATAAGTAGAATGTGCATAACATTTTTATGAATAATTAGATTATTCATAATCATTGAATGGTATAATGATTACTAAAAAATATAAAAGATAATTACTTTTGATTATTAAGCAAATTTCAAAATAGCATAATACCTCTAGCACTTCAAATACCCTGTACTAGGATGCAGATAAAGCCTGATTTCCCTACACTGTCGCTAAACTGATTTCAGTGCAATCGTTGTATTGCCTAGCAGTCCCAGAAGAAGGTCCCCTGTATCGACTGACCAATCAGCTTCGGCGAAAGCTGTTGGTGGATAGCGAGTAGTGATTGTATGGAAACCAAGTTTTACATAAGCAACCTGAACAGTCTCGAGCTCAAACCCACACGTATTCGGTGTGCCTAAATGTGTACCTTTGTGGCCTATTTCACTGTCGGTGTAGTATAATCTCTTCAGAGAAATATCTCAATCTGGTCGTTATCATCTTGGTCTTTATGACCTGGTCATTATCATTTTTGTCTATGATTTTTAGTGTGACTAACCTGTGATTGGCAACATTAACTTCTGCTGCATAACTTAAATCAAGTTTAATGCTCTTTAAACTAACATTATATTTTGAATTGTAATAACAAAAATTGAAATTGTCCAATACTGGGGTTTTTATTTTGTTTTGCTGTTTATAGCATGGAAGCAGGTTCTCAGCACAAACTTTCCCCAACCTGGTCATTATCATTTTTGTCTTTATGATTTTTAGTGTGACTAACCTGTGATTGGTAACATTAACTTCTGCTCCATAACTTAAATCAAGTTTAATGCTCTTTAAACTAACATTATATTTTGAATTGTAATAACAAAAATTGAAATTGTCAAATATTGGGGTTTTTATTTTGTTTTGCTGTTTATAGCATGGAAGCAGGTTCTCAGCACAAATTTTCCCCAACCTGGTCATTATCATTTTTGTCTTTATGATTTTTAGTGTGACTAACCTGTGATTGGCAACATTAACTTCTGCTTATTAACTTAAATCAAGTTTAGTGCTCTTTAAACTAACATTATATTTTGAATTGTAATGAAAATTGAAATTGTCAAATACTGGGGTGGGGGGGGGGGGGTGGGGTGGGGGGGCTGTCCTCAGCACAAACTTTCCCCAAATCCAATGTAACAATTAAACTAGATTATATTTGTCTGATATTTCTTACCTGTTTTTCATTTTTTTTTTTTGAAAGATAATAAATATCAATATGATATATTTGATTTATTTTTATATGTCTTTGTCTCTATTCAAACAAAATAATTTAATACTTTTTGTAGTGGATTAAACACAATATTTTGATATGATATGTAGTCAGAATAACTACTGTGTCACATTTTATGCAATATTAACATACCAAGTTTGGCTGAAAATGTGATATGACATTTTCTATTTCAAAATTCCAGTTTAATAAATATTGCAAACATATCAAGACATGAACAAATACAACCGTTTTTGTATTAGTCTTGTTAAAGAAAAGACTTGGGTCACTTTAATCATAATTGCAATTAGTTAGCTATATCTTACTGTTTACTCTACTGTTTCCAAAATATCAGAACATATTAAGCGGTTGATTAATAGTTTTAAAAAATTAGGCTATGTTTTTTTTAGCTCCCATATTGTATATCACTGGTCTGTGGGACAACTTGGCTATTTTGCCACAAGGTGCCTGATTTTTTAATGCACTTTCACAATGATGATTTATGAAAGGAAATATGTTTAATTAATCTTTCAAACATTAATGATGAAAGTATATTGAATGTCACATAGTTATTTGAAACATAAAATGCTACATCATTACTAATGGACCTATTGTACTATGTGTGTTTTCAATTAAAGAGTAAGAATAAGAGCCAAAATCAATTAGTTAATATTGATTACAACAAAATCCTATTTCATTATTTCTGTTAATTGCAATACACACACTCCTTAGTTTTGATCAAAGTATATTTCTTAAGCTCTGTCTACACTATCAAATTTTGTGACAAAAAAGTGTGATATGGGCATGATGACATCACACCATGACCATATATAGGCATAGCATTACTATATATGGGTGTGTCACATTTTTTTGTCAAAGTAAATTTGATAGTGTGGATAGAGCTTTAAGGAGAGTGTGAACACTAATTTGAACAAATTTGTTGTTTCTCCTGATTCTCCTAATTTGTATTTTGCTTTGAAATGAACCATAACATCAGGGCTACATGTTCACATAATTCCAAGACAGGGGTTAAAATGAACCATAACATCGGGGTAACCCCTACTTTTCCGAAAGATGCAATGGGTTCTTTAAAATATACACTGGACCTTGGTTCTATCAACCAAACCATGGGCCACGAGCAACTGGAACCAGCGCCGATGTTAAGGCCGTAGCTAGCGGTGCCCCTGCCTTAAGGCTCGGCCACTTGTCTGGAAGACTTTGTCACTGATGCAGAGGGAAAGCTCAGTTTTTCCCCCAACAGGTGGTACATCGTTCCCTGACAAATGGGCACAACCACCTCAGCCCCACCCTTACACCTCTTCAAAAATTAAAATTCGTTAAAGGGAACACCCCTAACTCGCCTCTTAAGACCATAAGTCCCACCTATTTTTGACTGCCACCCACACCCACCTTCCCTTTCTTTTTCTTGTCAAAAAATGTATGAAATCGTAAAAATCAAACCATCCATATGCATAGTTAAGTCCAAACTTATATCCCTTTTATATGAAAATTAGCAATTTCAGCATTTTATCTTCTGATATTTTTAAGTTACATTTTAATTGGTGTTTGTTTGTTTGTTTCTGAGTGCAATATGTTTTTTTTTTAAATTATTATTCCCTATTTTTCACCGTTGTCCTTGCAATTGTTTGGATTTTAACTTTGGAATTTTATTTTCATTCTTGCAATTGTAATTATTTTAACTATGGAACATTTTAAATTTTTTCATTTTTTATTTCATTGTAGTTAGGATTTTTAAATCGGTATTTAATTTGTTTGAAATTCAGCATTGCTATTATTAGAGCCACCCTCTGAAAATATTATTGAATAGTAAATAAATACATTTTTTGAGTTATTATTCTTGTAGTCACCCTGGCATTCCTTCAGGCAATCCTTTGTTCTAAATTTATTTTACAAAGGTAAATGGGCTAGTGTATGTAGGTGAGTTCATGCATTTTATATTATGTATTGAATGTCACATATTAACTCTGGATAAGATAAGATACACTTTATTGGTCTATTCACATATAAAAATACTTAAACAGAAAGGTTCCTTGAATCTGGCATAAACAATTAGAAAATACATTAACACCAAACCGATCAAAAAATATTACACCAAACAAACATCAAATTACAAAATGTAAAAAGATAAAATGTTTAAATATACACATTAGGGCTATAATTAAAATTAGTGAAATTAAAAGTAGATAAACAAAATTTTTGCGCTACTATGCATTACATTATCTAAATGTTATATATTAATTAAAATTATAATTATTATTATAAGAAATTACATTTACTGGTTATATTTATGAATTTCATTATTCAGGCACTGCCAGTATCTAGCAGATTTCTGTAATAATAATAATACAGTAATATTTATTTGGCAAATACAGTAAACAGAAATGAAACAACATGCTTTGCCCGGATAGGGAATGGGCGAAAGCCCATACAAGGTTTGCTCTCGATCCTTCATAATGAAATACAGTAGTACAAAAAAAAGAAAAATATTAAAATATAACTAACTCATTCCTAAAATTAGAAATAACAGCATTTTGTACTAAATGCAGGCAATCCTTTGTTCTAAATTTTTATTTATGTAATTATTACAAAGGTAATTGAACTAGTGTATATTAGTTCATTAATTATATACTGAATGTCACATAATAACTCTAGTTATACATAAAATAAAGAATATGAATATTCATATTCTTTATTCAGGCACTGCCAGTGCTAAGCATATTTCTGAAGCATACAGTACAATCAATGTTGTTTTTTTTTGTATCTTGTATTACTGTAAAATCTGTACGGTTCTGAATCAAAATTTGCCTCAAGCATCTCCAGTTGCGCAGTTGTTGCCGGATTCTTCTTAAAATGTCCTAATGGTTATTGACTAGGTGAGAACTATCTTCAATTATCTTCCTATTATATCTCCCATATACATTTCAATTAGGTCTACCATTGCACATCCTTACTCATCAATATACACTATTCCATCAATCTTCTGGCTGTTCTTATATTCTATTTAACAATGCATTTGTTTTTAGAGTTTATGCCATTATACCTGAGATTTTAAAACCCTTTTAGGGAATTTGTATGGAGAGTGCCAAATTCATTATGAACGTTGTGTGGGGATGAATTTACTAGGAAGTGGGGATACTGTTTACCCTATCCTACTGTAGTTCAGGCTTGAATATGAGTCATATGGTTGGGGGTGTGCGGTGCTACACTTTGTAACTTCAATTGATTGATTGGTGCATTACTAATCACTAAGTTGTGCTTAAGATGGTCTTAATCACTTGCTGCTCAATCCTGGAAAATTGTTTTTGAAAAATACAGCTGCACTATCTAGTCTCTGCAACTAAATGAGTTTATAGAGAATCTTTTCCATGTATAAGTGGCAAATTACTCAATATTGCATGAAATAAACAAATATCCATCTCTCTAGTCATGTTTGTTACACACAAAAATTGCAGATAAAATCACCGTCACCAAATTGTATGGTGGTGATAATATTATGGATTCTAGTGGAAATTTAATAATTTTTTTACTATCATTGGTCCTAAGCTAAAAACCGTTATATTATCCCAATATTTAAAGACTGTAAGACAGAATTGCTGGGTAATTATATGACCAATTTGTATTCTTGTCTTAAGTGAAGTTTTGAAAAAGTAATTTCTTATTGCACAAAATAATAATTTGTTTTTATAAACGTTAAAATGGTTCTACAACAATGGTTCATCGACGATCACTATCTATAAGACCAAGAAAAGCTGTCTTCTGTTGTCATTCTTCTGATGACGGTCAGAGCAATCTCACCGAAATGGTGAGACACAACCAGTGGTTTTACCTTAAAAACTATTTTTTTTGGACATGGTGTACCAAAGATTCAATGGTTTTTTTTTATTGATACTCGCCAAGCAAACCTTCAAGAAATGTTTTTAATATGCAACAACGTCAAATCAAAGAAGCAATTCATATTAGACGCTACACAAACCACATGAACAGAGATGAAGGAGCATATGAATTTTCCAACATTTATGATGAAATCCTTAAAGACCAACTGCGGCGGTTGCCCCCAAAGATCATCTGTCATCACCATGACAAGAGGGCGTAAGACGGCATCGGCCGATGATGTCATAAGTTTATACCATCGTCACTTGACAAGGATCACTGCCAGTGATTGAAGTGTTGTAAGGTAACTTTACCATTTTACACATTGGTTCAACTAAAATGAAAAATATTTTTTTTTGTTTTTAATATGGTTTTCAGAAAAATGTCATATTGGTTAATAATCACCAATAAGACATTAATAATAAAGAAATCTTCATTTGGTATTTTTACTGATTTTAGTAAAGCTTTTGATACAATAGATCCATCTCTTTTATGTTTTAATTTATATCATGATGTTCGAGGAAATGCATATAAATGGATTTTTAATTACCTTTCCAATAGAAAACAGTTTATTTCATCACACAATTATGTTTCAGATAAATTGAATACTTCCTGTGGTGTTTTCCAAGGTTCTGTGTATTACGACTCACTCCTTTTACATTTATATTAATGATCTTCCTAATTCATCAAACTTTTTTGATTTCCATCTATTTCCTGACGATGCTAAATTATTTCACTCTTTTTCAGGAAACATTCTTGATTTATCAGATATTAATGTTCAGTTTAAAAGAATTTTCAGTTGGTTTATTCCTCCATTTTCTAATAAATTGACAATAAATTCAGAGAAAACAAGTTTTATGATTTTTCAGTATAAAAATGAAGTTATTAGTACTCAAGGTTATTTTTCTATTATTAATGTTTTACTTAAAGGTTTGCTAATTTTGTTGGTATTAAGTTTGACAAATATCTGTTCTGGAAATTTCACTATTGATGATGTATGTGACAAGGTAAGTAAGGCTGGTTTACTTAAGAGACATTTTATTAATTTAAATTTTAATTGTTTACTGATTTTCATATCCATTTCCTTATAGCATTTTGATTAATTTATCCTTATAAATTTGATTTTTAAAAAACTTCTTTATTCATCTTTAATAATTGATTGCTAATTTCACTTTATTCATTTTTAATAATTGATTGCTAATGTCAGACAGGATTTAATTAATTTATATTGAATGCTATATGTTTTATTCATACATTATCATAATGGTATATATTTTCCTTGAATTATTCAAAATGCATTGTGTCAAAATCTTGGAAAATCATTTAGTGAAGCATACTTAGTTGGGAGTTAATGTGTGTGCAACATTGCTTATGGCTTTTCTTCTAAGAGGAAAATTGTTCAAACTCTTACCTCAAAAAAGCAACAAATGGCATATACAAAGATAATATATTTTTTATATGATTTTTAATTAAAATCAACTTTACCAACTATGCAGTTCCAATGTAGAATGTAATTTAGTTGAGCTCAACACAGGCAGTATATTATTCATGTTGAGATTAGGTATTGTTTTTTAGTAGGTATATAAGGATTTGGTATTAAAAGGATAAATGTGGAAAAAAATATTTACCATAAAACAGATATAAATCAGTTAGAAATGTTAAGAGCAGGAAAATGCAACTTCTCCATTGCATAAAATGGAAATACTTACACTTGTTAATGTTATTGAAATTGAGTGTTGTGATTAGTGAACCTGACAAATTCCGGATATGATAGCCAATACCTAGAACCAAATTAATCAAAGAAGTAGTGCTTGGCATTTCGGCTGCTCAAGAAGCTTTTAATGGGTCAGTGTTCGCCAATTTACATTATTAATTAGGCTTTCGGCATGCTAAAGTATTAGGTATACGTATTAGTTGTACGTCCTAACATTCGGCGAGTGCGTATAAACCTAAATGTAATGTGACTGCGCATGGCATCGCACTAAATCAGGATCTATGCCGGCTCAAAATTTAATTTACGGCATCGTCTCGTGAAAAATCCCTTTAAGTCGCTGATGTCCAATATATATCATTAAGGAATTCATATCCTGGCGTCTTCTATAATGTGTGTATCTCCTATTATCAATGGGTAAATTGAGATGTTTTTCATTAGGATTTCAGCACGTTGAATTGGCTGAGTAACTCATAAAGATAAACAGGAATTCATATCACTTAAAAGGCAATAAAGATGCCGAAACCTGTAGAAGAAACAATAACTTGATAGAAGTTGTGAAATGCAATGACTGTACTCTATACCATTTTCCTTTACTTTCTGCAGCAATTCTGAACATAAAAGTTCAAACAAAGGAACAATGCACACATTTGCCCTGCCATAGGTCCCTGCCACAGATAAATTTATGGGTGCCAGTGTCCCTGCCGCTTTTGCTATTCCTTGGCACTGATTTGGGTTTTCTTTAAATTTATGACCATGTTATTTTTCTAGCAATTTGTTCTGTATTTGTTTTACTTTTTTTGTAATGTGTTTTTGTATTTTCTGATTTTCAAAAAGAATGAAATAAAATAAATTAAAAAAAAAATTTTTGTTTTGGAAATTCAAATAAATAGCATGGTGAGAAAAAAAGGATACATAGTTGGTAAAGCTCTTAAGTGCAATGCGAAATTGGCTCAATTAAAAAAAAGAAACTTGCTCTATTCACGTGGGTAAGGAGATAAAGTAATAATTTATAATAATAATACCTTCCTCTATTCATGTGCGTAAGGAGATAAAGTAATAATTTATAATAATAGACCTGATTTAGATGAGTGTGAGTATTGCTTTTAAAATGGAGTAACGCAGCAAAGATAAGTAATAAACTAAATTTTACTTAAGTTAGCCCTTAAGAAACTCTCTAGTATTCATGTTTAATTGGATAAATTAATACCTACTAAATGTCACAAATGTATCAAGTTGTAGTCAAGTAGTTGTAAGTTTTGTTTATGATGAACTGTAACATAGTTTTCAGCTTCCTCTTGCTCTCTGTTGAGATAAATAAGTGTAAGGCCATGGAAAGGCAGGCAAATTATAAAATACACATATATTCTACATTATATAGGGTTATACACTACCATATTACCGAATATAAATATATTTATGTATATGTAATTATTAATTATATATATATATATATATATATATATAGTTTATATATATATATATATATATAAATATCGTATATAAAGTTGAGATCAAAATAAAGGATTTAAAACATTTTTAAGGGACAGAAGATAAGATGGATAAAAAGAAAAAAGGCCATCATACTATTTTGTGTTGTAAACTTGATTGCCTTGTGCCAATAGAAAGCAAATTTCCAAAGTAATTTTGGACCAATAAATTTTATGTCAATTCAAAATATTAAGGCCAGAAGTCCTTCATACTTTTTATGACTTTTTTTAAACTCAAAACAAAGGTCTAGCGCATTGAGGCTTTATGCATTTTGCTCTCTGTAAGTCTATACTTATTATTATTATCATCATTATTATTATTATTATCATTATTATTATTATCATTATCATTATTATCATTATCATTATTATCATTCATATTATTATACATACAAATTCAAAATATATATTTTGAATTTATGCATACAAATTCAAGATATATAATAATCAACTACTATTTGTGGTAAACAAGAGTAGCTCCACCCACTTTTAAGTCACCTGTTTTCACGTTAGCTTCTCCCACGTGTTCTCAATGGTGATATTTGCAGGCATCCACTTAGCTTACATTTAGCAAGAGAACGTTAACGAGATATGACCATCAATGAAATAATGTTACAATATCATCTATTATATAGCTTTCTATTTATTTCTGTGTTCAAAAGTGAACGTCTGGCGCTGGGAAAGTTGATTCCAGATGCTGATGTGGATCAGGAGGAGTTGAGTTGGTTGAGGTGCATGGCTTCCTGCATGTCATGTCACAATGTAAGTTTAATCATCCATATATTTCCATTGCTGTCCATTCCGGCTACTGGCAGAGTGTTTCTGGATCAATATCTTTTGTTTACAGATACATTTCCTTTCTTAGAGCATAGGATGGATTACCAACAGAAGTATACATTTCCTCTGTTTGCCAAAATTGCAATTTACCTTAGTAAAAACATTAATTATGAGTGTAGATTTATATTTTATTGTAATTATGAATAAAAGTCGTATCTAAGTTTTGGTTTTGTGGCTTGCTATCATACAATTAGAAAACATAAATATTCTTCACTTTAATATGCCTTTTAATTGTCTTTGTATATTCTTCACTTTGTAATTCTAGAACCACTAAAAGTATAATTCATCTAAAAATGTTAAGTTTTGTATAACAAAACAATTTGATAATAAAAACCTGGCCCTGAATAAATTCAGTACTCTTTCAGTGTTTGTTGGGCAATGCAATGTTTTCACAGAAAATATTATTTTTTATGCAAGTTTTCAGAATAAATATAATGTAGATTTTTAGGTTCAATCAGTGGATTAAGTGTAATGTGAGTGGCTTCACTAATCCATAGCTGCTATATTGAAACAGGGGCCCCAAGTTGGAAGAAGTCAATTTGGGAGATCTGCAGTGGTGGGTCCATTTAAAATAGACCTGTGGGTGGGGGGGCGAAAGTTGATAATAAAGCAGTGAAAACATGCAAATATGAATTTGTGGAAATGCATTAATTTCCTAGAAATTGCTGCTTGCTTGCGGGTAGTGTGAGCGGCTGTCCTGATTTCCAGGAGACTTGATACCCTGTTGAAAGAACTTGCTCTGTTATAATTTTTTTTAATTTCATGTTTTTGTTAATGATAAAAAATCTTTTAAAAATAATAAAATAATATTGTGAGTGTCCCTCAGATTGGTTTAGGCTGCTTCCACCAGGTCCATTGCCATCACAGAATTTGGTCATCTGGTCTCTTGCCACTCTGCTTTTTACCACCCTGATTTTTACCACCTGGCCATTTGCCACCCAGTCTTCCATTGTAGGCCTGTTGCCGCCTAGCATTTTGGCAAACAACATAATGAACGATGATGCACATTTTTTTTGTCAAATAATTGTTGTTAATTTTCTAGTTCTTTTAGTTTACTGAAGGTAATACACCTGGAACATCTTGGTTTATTGCTTTTAAATTTGTGTCGTTTATTCTATCCTGTCGATCATTTGGATCCATTATCCATGATTTCAGTTCCAACAGTTATGTTAGTAAGGATGAATGTAGAAGACTGGAAAAACCTCTAAAAAAATGCAGAAAAGCTGAAGCTGATCACAAATTCTTGAATAATTGCAAATAATCAAATAATTGAGCAAAAAGTTTGTATTTTATGAAGCTATGACCTCTAAAATTTTGTGTTTATCTTATGGAAGTGTAGCTATAGATTGGTAGTAAAATGCTTGCCTTACAGTTTGTGGGTTCTTGGTTCAAGCTCTTTCAAAAACAACTCTACTCCCTAAGCATAATAAATCGTGTTTGCCAAGACAGTGACATATTAGCTACTAACAATTCTTGGCCCATGTGTATAAATAAATTTAAAAAACAAATTTGTATAAATATGCTAAATTTAGTAGTGATTCACTGTACTGCAGTATCAGTATTTTTGACCTGACAAACATGCTAATAAAATATATATAACCTAACAAATTACCATTTGCAGATAAAAAAAACTCAGTCAAAGTAGGTCACAATACCTTGTGTATTAGACAGTTTAAAAACCGTTGAGATTTACACCGTATTACTTGTCTTCCAGCGGTTCATTACTAGCTTACTAAGTAGTTGATCTATAAATGTGATTGGCACGAATGAGGTCCTAGAAGATTTAACCAATGCATGTGAAGTGTGAAACCATTTCTGAACTAAGGCCCAATAAATGAATGATTAGTTCATCACACCTGCCCGCATGTATTGAAAAAAATACTTTTTTAAAAAGAAAAAAAATCATTATTTAAAAACAAAATTGTTTAAAAATTTTTTTTCCATTTTTATTTATATTTTTTGGTAAATTGTTAGTAGATATTGTTTGTATTATCTCATTGGTGATATTTGGCTTTAGAAAAATAAAAAGCACTTTTCTAGTCTAGATAGGGTGATAAACTAATAAATTTTATTAAGTAGCCGAAAGAGCCACAGAATTTGTTACTGAAATTGACAATTTTGAAAGTCAAGTGGGGTTATCTGAAAGTTTTGCTTTTATTGCCTCAATGTTGGCAAATCCGGAAAGAAATTTCCCTTGTGCCACTGGATCCACTAAAGGTCAGTCATTCTGTGAAATGTTGTCTAATTGATTATTATATGTTATAAAATTCGCTGATAGCACTGGTCATGGTGGTGATTGATAGCCCTTGTTGTTCAAGTGTGTAACCATGGAGGTATAGTGGTGTGACTAAGATTATATGAGGTGAAGTTGATGGTGATGTGTACATTTTATGATTGATTGATTGATTGGTTGATTGATTGATTGATGTTGATTACAATGATGTAGATGACAATGATGGTAATGATGCAGATGATGATGATGAAGAATGATGATGATAGTTATGATGTTAATAATGTATTTCCAGACGATACTATCAAAAGTTTGTCAAAATTTAGACCAACGTAAAGTAGGGTAAGTAGAATGTATTATCCAGAACTTGTTTTATGTGTCCATGAATCATGTTAAAGGATGATGGTTGTGAATTATGCGGAATGTGCCTGTATAAATGAAATTCATACTGCAGCTTATATCCCTGTCTGCTTGTATATACTAATTTCATTAAGTATTAGTAACAAGATGTGGATCAAGATAATGGTGCTGAGAAAGATTATAATGAAGATGGTTATTACTAGGATGATCATGATGGTGATGCAGATGATGATGACGATCATCATCATTTCAGTAATGATGATTATGTTGATTATGATTACAATTATAATCATGATAAGATGATGATGATTATAATTATAATAATGATGATAAAAGATGATTATGAATACAATGATTAAAATAATAACTATTATTATTATGATAATGAGGATAAGAATTAGGAAAGTATAATACATACTCCAAGTATTGAAATACACGCCATCGTGTTGGGATTCAATATTTCGACATTAATTATGTCATCATCAGGAATGATGATGACATAATTAATGTCGAAATATTGAATCCCAACACGATGGCGTGTATTTCAATACTTGGAGTATGTATTATACTTTCTTATCTGAGATTAATCAGTGGACCTTTCGGTTTTAGGATAAGAATTGTTATGGTGATGATAATGATGATTTATTTATTTATCTATTTATTTTATTTATTTATGTATTTATTCATTTATTTATTTATTTTATTTATTCCTTCTTTTGACGTGATACATTTTCAATACAAAAGTAATCAGAATACAATCATTTTAAATAATATAAACAAAAGGCATATATAAACATGTAAGATAACCAAAAAGAACAAAAACAAGCATAATTTAAAAGTGATAAAATTCAAAATTAAGAATTAGCGTTTTTGAAAATGTCATATTGGTTGTATTTTTTCTTATTGTCATTTGGTAGATTATTTCATTCTTTTTCTTTTAGGAAAAATGATTTTTAATAATTTAAAATATAGCCCAAAATACCATAAGCTTTAAATAATCTACCTGCCTGGATCTTAAGTCTGTGTACCATTTTATCACCCAAAATAAGGAAGCATAGAATTATGCCTATAGGCCAATAGTAAAAAAAAAACAAATACAATTAAATGACCCTAAATCTAAATGTCATTGTGCCTGGCAATACAACTATTTTTCTTCTTCTTTGACTAACAGTAAATTGTATTTCACAAGCTCTTTCCCCAGGCCTCGCTAGATGTAATGGCTAAAACTAATGAAGTTTGATTGGGACGAATGCTTATGAAAATTTCTGATGGGACTTATGATAATGATGATCATGGTGGTACTGTTGATGATAATATTATTAATGGTATGATGATGATGATGGTATTAATTATTAATGTGATTATTTTGATTGTTGATATTATTGAGAATGATGATGTTTGTAATGATAATGATGTTTGTAATGATAATGATGTTATTAATGATTATAATGATGATCATGTTGCAAAAATAATGATGTTGATGCAAGTTTTACTATGATCACAGGTCTTCCTCAGGGTCCATAGAATTATAATATATCAGAGGATTCTATCGAAATCTCATCACTTGAAGGATATAAGAACGTAAAATTTCGGTTCAATTAGAGCCTATCATCCGATACTTGCAAGTCCATGAATCACGTTGAATGCGCAGTTTAACTAAATTCCATGATCCAGGAGTCCCTGCCCGCTCTTTATAACATGATATACCGACTACATTAAGTAATAGCAACATTAAGCATAAGGTTTTTTGTTATGAATTTTGGCAGCTGTTTTAGTTACATCTAATTGATTGCTCGAGAGACCGTTGAAGGATTTCGATTTCGATCGAAGCATATGATAAACGCAGAAAAAGAACTTACTTTGCAGTGATGGATGGTTGCATAGTTTCAAACTAATCTATGTGTTTGATGATCTCACGATGTCTGCTGTAAATTCATAATTTAATGAAAAGCATAATGTGGGACATGCCATTTATTCTGTCTCTACTATGCAATTTTAGTTATACTGTTTTTTTCATTGTATAATATATCTTTATATTTTAATTACAATTTCCTGTTGAATTTATTTATTTTCAAAAATTTAATGCATACTTAGACTATAGAAAAAAACTATAGATCTTAACATAAGCATCTTTTTTTTTTTTTTTGCAAATATTATCTTGGCATAGAAATGCTTAGAAAATTTGAGTCTACAGGTGTTCTGATAATGTCAGATGTAATCTGTCTAGTATAGTTATTGCATCAATACACTAAGATACCCTTACATTCTCTTAATCTATGTATTACAAAAATTTGTTTTGCTCCGGAAAAATATATTGTAGTTTATGATTTTATGAACTATATCTATGTGACATTTATACTGCCTAGTTCCCATAAATTACAAAGAAAATCATCATTTACATTTTTGTACTTTGTACTTTTTGTACTCAATTGACTGATAATATTAATTTTTAATTAGTGTGTGATTGATGACTCCTTACCTGACTCGAGGGTTTACTTTCTGTAGAGTTCTGTTCTTTCTTTTTAAATTTTTATTTCAGTTTTGATATTCATGCATTTGCAAGTTTTTTTCAAAATTAATTAGAAAGACACTGCTGCAAGATAAATACACCATTTAGCCATGAAAACAATAAATAGGTAAATTAATGATAATATCAAAATTGTTAATAGATTTTTGTAAAACAAAGTATGACAGAGTATAAATTGTAACCTTAGCAAAATGCATGCTATAAATTCCTATGTATAATATCATTTTGAACATTTATCACAAAAATATATAAATTTGTCATGATACTGTTTTTACCTTTATTGTGTTAATTTTGAAATTTGGTGCATCACATTTGAATGCTGTGAAAAATTGAAGTTGAGTAGAAAGTCTCCTTTCCAGTACTTTAGAGGATAAAACTGGCCGCTCTAAGCACGGCTCAAAGGCTTTACATCTAAGTCTTGCTGGGGTGCGTAGCTTACCTCCTCACACAGTGCCTACACTACAGTGGGCCTAAGCTTAAACCGCTTATTTCATGTGATTTTTAATGTGAATTATGATTTAAAAATCAGTATTGATTGGATTTCTTTGGTGTGATACATCCAAGGTTTACCCATGTAAGTCTTGAGACTTATATCCATTGGGGTCCTTGTGGTGGTGAAATTGACAGTACACCGGGAGCACACATGACCTATGGCTTAAATGTCTCATCTGAAAGACGGTGCACGTTTTTTAAAATTTCATATCAGCCCTCCTGCTTAAACATTAGGAGAGCAGTGATGGGACCAAGAGGTCTCCGGGGTTCAGCATACACATTGTGGCTACCACCAATTTAGCTGACTGAGAATAATAAAAAATAATATATTTGGTATTTGATAAATGTCATATGAAAAATTCAAATTAGTTGATGTAAACCTATAGCAAATATTGTACAACAGTTAAACCACAGTAAGCCCTATATCTTTTGTTTATGTATATTACTTTTATGTAACAGTGGGTGCAGCCATGTTAGTCTGAGCTAATAAATCAGTAGATGGACAGCAAGTTTAAGACTAACAAAATATAATTTCGTCAAACAAGCTTTCGTTCTCGCAGTGAACTTACCTGAAGACTTTCACTGCATGAAGGAAAGCTTATGTTTGATAAATTATGTTTTGTTAGTCTTAAAAGTGTTGTATGTTTTCTACAGGTATATTGTCATATATATCTCATTGAAAGCACTTTCTCCTCCAACTGATAAGGAACATTTTTGTTAAAAAGCTATGGTCAATATGATCTTAATTTCATGTGTTTCAATATTAGTTTGAATAGGAGGCAAATGATATGGTATACTCTGAAATGTTTGTACTAAATAAATGTTATGTCTACAATGTCAACATATGAAAACATAATTTTATTTATATATGTTTCAACACTCTATTCACTATAAAATATTTGTAATATGTTAGAATGTACAGGGTATATTGATTTCAGGTCATTGTTTTACTATATTTTAGGCACTAATTTAATAAATGTATCTTTTACTTGTACATATCAATATCCTTAAGGTGTCTTATTGAAAATGTTTTATTGTTATTTTATGTATGTGGGTACACTTCACAAATTTTAGTTGTAGTAATTTTAAAATTGTATAATATTTTTGTTTTTTTCCCCTGTTACCTGTGCAATTTAGGATTGGCCATTATCAGACGTGCCTAGGTTGTTCACTTGTTGGCTTTTTTTGCCGTCTCCGGAAACTTTTTCTTATTGTAAATATTTTATTGTATATTGGCAGTGTGAAGTTGATTAAATACTAAAATAAAATACTAGTACGGACAGATGTAGTAATATTGATAAAATACAAGTAACAATTGAATTTCTTAGGAAACTTCTTTAGAGCCAAGCTTATTAGTTTTAAAGATTCCAGTTTTATAGTTGATCATCAATGTAATTGCCAAGATATTTATGTTCTTTTACAATTTGTCATTGATCAGCAGACGCTCATGATTATGTTAAAATTTCCTGTAATCGATAATAATTTCCTTGGTTTTATCTACAAGTAGTTTTTCAGAACACCAATTAACAAATAGTTAACATATGACTTTGAGCATTTACATCATCAGTAATTAATCCTAAAAAATTATTTCTATGAAACAAGTATCATCTGTAAATGTAACCATGAATCTTTCCTTCCGATCAATAAATAGAAGTTCAAAGTCATTAGAATAATGGTGCCATAAAAATGGAATGATTGATGGATGAGGAGAGAAGAAATTGAGCATCATCACAGGGTTTGTTGTTAAATTTCAGAGGACTAGTGACTTTCTCAGCATATAGATTTTAAAAATTCTATTCATAAATATTTTTTGCCATGTTCTTTTCATTTGTACATCACAATACTGTATTTTGACCTATAATGGCAATAGGTTGTTAACATATATTCAACCAAATTCTTATAACAAGTATCTTATAACAGGTGACAGATTAATGTCACACTATGTACTTTATCATCATTTAAATGCCACTATAACACCTGCTTAATGGCCAGAAGATGACACCTCCTTATGCAACCAGTTGTTTTCGTTGATCATTGTGTACTGCCAATGGCCTTCGTATCTAATATTGATTTTTCTTCGTATTCTACCTTATATCTATCAAGAACATGCACCTGCAGATGTAAGTGTAGTGAAAAATTACACTAATTTGGTTTCCATAGCAACACCTTTGTTTGTACGACTGTCATAGACGTAATCGCTCTCACAACTTTCAAGCGATTTAGTGAAAGAAGCTAATGAAATGAGGAGGTCCTGATAAAATCAACTTTCTAACAAGTTGTCATCATTATTAATATGAATGATTGCCTCTGTTCATCCAATGAAAATATAAACATACTTGTGATTGACTGTACTTCATTTAGAATGAGATGTGCGGCTGAAATGTCAACATGAACTGCTTCATAGGTGTGACATCCAGTACTAAGTGGCCTAGTTCTGATTTTTTTAGCTCAATTAATTTCATGATTTGTGAGCCAAAAAAAAACGAAGAGAATAAGCATAGTCATTATCTTAACCATTAATTGCTTTTCAAATCAGTTTGGTATAACAGAGGCAGATATTTGATATCTCTCGAGTTGAGAAAGCAAAGCTGCCCGATAGGTTGGTGTTTGTACAATCAATTAAGACTTCATTTTCGATTCTTCAATTCCTGCTGTATTTTTCCATTGTGTTGTTGAGGGTTTACGTACGCACAAAGGAATTGCTGAGCCATCGGCCTTATTATACGTAAATGGTTAATTTCAGTTTGGCATTTCAAAATAACTTGCTTGACAATACGTGATGATGTCAATGCTTTAATTCCATAAAGCTTTCTACCATTATTACAGCCCTATTTTAATATGCCTAAAAATACTTTGTATAATATGATTTATTTCTGATCCTATTCACAAAATAGAAATGGAATGTTTAATTTTAGAAAGTAACAAATTTAGAGCATGAATAACATTGCTGTTGGGGGCTTAACACCAAATTATATATGTGACTAAATTGTGAGCGATAGAAATGGGAAGTTAATTCTATTGGCTTAGTGTTGTTCCAATATTCGTATCTTAATTTTAACTTATCTTATTTAAATTATTGTAATTTTACTATACCCCGTGCAAATGAATGAGCGATATAATTGCCGGTTGGATGAATATCTGTTTCAATGACTTTGACTCTGACTTGCTAAAGTTTTGAATCTTATTAAAAGGATTAAATTCAAAGCTTCTCGTATATCTTGGATGAATTGTCGATTTAAATGATCGGCCTAGAAACAGACATTGGTGGTAAATTTAGTTCATCCAAGATACTTTAAAACCATATTCATTCACTATCAAATTTAATTTTAAATTAGTTTTTTTAATTTTGACATTATATTTTGTAGAAAATAATGCTTTTTAAAAATTAATATCAACAATATTATCAGAACCTAAATCCCTTTTCATTCAGATTTCGATTGGAAGATGTAAGGAAAACTGTTCAGGATCTGAACAGCAACTGTCAGTAGATTTTGTAAGTTCATATTCTTCATATCCATTTCATCAATTGATTTTCTATCATCTCTTTCAGTATTCAACCTCTGTACACGATTTGTGTACTCAATTATTATATAATAGTGTACTATATTGTTATATAGTAAAATCAAATCAAATTTAAAAAAGAAAAAACATTTTTTTTACTGTATAAAACTAATATCTATTGCATTAAAATTTCTTGAAACTATTGTTTTTTTTGTTTTCAGAGTTCTGAGAATGATTCAAGCAATGAGACACTAAGCACTAAAAATGCTAGTAAGTTATTTTTACTATGCCTGCAAATATTTATTCTGTTGCTTAAAACATAGTGCTTCACATAGTGCTTCTCAACCAACAACAGTTCTTTTCAGAACTATCTATGAGGTGTACCGCAAGCATTAATATATATTATTACTTCGCCATGCAAACCTTCAAACAATACATTATTCTTATTATTATTATAATTATTATTATTACCATTATTATTATTATTATTATTATAATTAAAAATAATAACAAAATGTCATTGAGTAATGTGACAAGTTATAGCCTATTATTACTATAATTATTATTTCTGATTGGCTGAGAAAAATTTTTGAATCTTAAAGTTGGGTATGAAACAAATTAATGCATTTCTATGCTGATCATTTTCAAACTCACTGCAGTTGTGACGTCAATCCATTGTTGTACTACTTGGAAGCATTCATATGCATGTTATGTCCGGCCACCTGCAAGAACTTGATAGGCATGGTTGGTTCTTGTATGTGGTTTGTCGTGTCATGGCTAGTTATTGAGTAAAATGCTTAAAATCTATATAAAGTTGATTTTGTGTTTTGTACAAGTAGCCTACTCAAATATCAGTGATATCATTCTCCATAGGACAGGTCATCTGCATTCTTAGTATCATTAATTTATTATTATTAATAAAGGAACCTATGAATAACAGTTTATATTAAATAAGGACTACGACAGACATATTTTTGATTGAAAATCATTGGTTTTCATTAGGTATTTGATTTGAATTTCAAATCGGCATTATTAGCACATAACATAATGGATGATATGGTTACTATCAAATGAAAACTAATCAGTATTAGGAATTCCTATTTTTTAGTGCAGTTTTGTGGCTTAGGCGTAAATCTCATATATTTGTAAAATTGTAGTTTGTCTATTTATGTATTATTTTATTTTTTTCCCTTTGGTTAATTTTATGCACTACAAGTTTGTTGCTAAGTTATGCAACAATAAGCAGAGAGATTTGCTGTAGAATTTGGCACATAATATACACGTACATCTAATTAGTGCAGTGTAGGAATACCATGCTCTCGTCACCACTAAGATCTAGTAGATTAAATCTTATGGTGACGAGCATTTTCTGTTTTTGTTGCGCCATTAATATGAAATTCCCTGGCTCTTGAAGTTTGCAATTCTCCTTCTCTCAACATTTGGAAAAAACCATCTAAAAACTCTTCAACTTTTGAATTCTGTTTTACTGACAGCGCATTGATACTTTGTTTAATGCACTGTAGCAAATTTATATACATTACATTACTTTGATTGAGTGAGTGACACTGAATGCACTACTAAGCAGAATTTAGTTATAGAATTTGTCACAATTTAAATCCCAATGATATCTATTGATTGATAGATCAACAAGGAATAAGGATTATCGGTAAATTAACGCAAGTCTATAAAATACATGTCATGGTGGCTTTTAAAATATTATTTATAGATACAGATAAATATATTTTTTATGGTTCTATTTGTATCCAGGAGCAGATGATGCGCCACTTTGAGGGTAATAAACTATGTGAAATCTAAACATTAGACGAGTTATTAAAATATTTACTGTCTAGCGAAGTGCTCAAAATTCAATTAAAACATCGAATATTAATTTAATAGGATCACATTAGTGAACTTCAAATATAATATAAATCGAAAAAGCCTTTGTTAGTTGTAGCCCATAGCGACCACATGATTCCTGGTCCTCAAATACAAAACACTAAGGGAGAGGGGATAACAGTGCATCTAGTTGAGGGGGTCACCAAAAAATGTTTGTTTTACATTGAAAATTATGGGGTAAAAATGGATGGGCCCTTAGCATTATTAATTTACCATTACAACAATATCATAAAGGGTTATTTATTGGGTTTGTGCTAGAAGGTGTTGATACGCCAGGCTAGAGATCAGTGGCATATCTAGAAGTCTTGAAATGGGGGTGCTGGTGGAGGTGTGAAGGTGAAGTGGGAGGGGACTTGATGATCAGTTGGACTAACACGCAAAATAAAGTGATTTTAGGTGATTTTTAACTTCTTGCAATTGATTTTTGGGGGAAACTGGGGGTGTTGGGAGTTATTTTTAGATGGGTGTGCATTCCTCGCACACCCCTAGATACGCCACTGCTGGAGATCCCTTATAGATGGGAAGCTTTTTAAAAGGCACTTTATGACTGAGGACCCTTTTTCGTAAAATTGCTTAGAAAAGTAGAAAGTTGTACATTTAGCCTTACATACATGGAAAAAGACCTTTTCCTTTGAGGACGTCATTACACAGTGCCCGTTGACGTAATAGCATTAGTAGCTTAAGGCAGGACTCGGCCACTTCGACAGTTTCTGAACAGTTGTAAATCTTAAGTGAAATTTCAATAATTGATTGATGTACCATACAGTAGGTCTTCTGTGCATCCTTCTGCCCTTAGTAATAAGTTACTCCGTGCTTGCATAGATTCCAATCATAATCTCTGGTAGTTGCTTAAATTATTTTAGTCATTGCACGAGATGTTGATTGCCTTCTGTTTATGGATGTTCAGTTCTTTCAATAATGATGTTGGCGTTTAATCAGGTACTAATGTTTATGTTTATGTCAATTGTAATTACCAGCATATATCGCATACTGATTTGTTTGGATTAACACATTTTAACACTTCACAATTCAAACATTTTTCTGGGATGATGATGATTTATACTGAGAACCGAAGATGTTATATTGTTGTTAGCTTTAAAATTAATGAAATAAATGAATAAATAATTTAAATAAAATAACCAGGATTAGCAAAGATTGTTTTAGGGTTCACTGGGCACTACAGCTGATCACACAAATTTTTATTAATTTATAGCCAGTGGGATGAATTTTTTAGCAAAATAGATATTAATGACAAGCCCGTAGCCAGGGGGGTTCGAGGGGTTTCAAAGTTTTGAAATTAATTCCAAATATTTGAAATTTGGCATTTTTATTGCCATTTCTGGACATCTGATGTGTGATGTTTCTAGTGTGTTATATTTTTAAAATTTAACCATGGCAGGGCAGAGGTGGATGTGGACTCAAAGTGCCCTTTTGTGAAAAATTAGAACTCCTTTCTCCTGCCTAAGGGCTTGAATGAGTTTAAATGTAAAATTACATCAGAAAGCATGCCATAACAGAGAGCTCTGGGTTGATTGATGTACAGACAGTGGGATGAATGTGGCTTAGCAACTGCACGGATCATCAAATAAACATTTCCAGACAGTAGAACACAAGGAGATGAAGGGCTTGGGTTGTTTATCAACTCTTAGGATGTAATAATGGCTTGTACATGTGTAATGAGTCTGCACATATCACCTGATGTAGGGAGATGAGAACTCCAGTTGTATCAGTTCAGGTGCATAGGTGCTAATGAGGCAATACATAACACCACATCGCTTATGTTTTCTCGGAACCTTCATTTGCTAGTGTGTCAATACCGGTGAATACGATTTAGCAGAGCGCTACTAATGATGCAACATTTAATACCACAGCTGATCACCTAATTACTTTGAAATAAAAACTGAGGTTGTTTACCAACTCAATAGGCAGGGGGATGAATGTGGTTTAGCGAGTACAAAGATATTAATGAGTATGTACAGCACCAGCTGTTCTTAATGAGATTGAAAAACTTATTTATCAACTCAAAAAGTAGTGGGATAAATATCACTGTCAATTTTAAACTACTAGCTTGTCAACAGCCTCAAATTGTTATTATTCACTGACAGTTTAAGATTGTTACTAAAGTCAATGGCCAATGGCTATACATCTTTGAGCTTTTCAGGACAACAGAATAAAACAATGCCAGAATAACTGGTTGAAACAGAAAAGAAAGCATTAGAAAAAAAACCCAAATAAATTAAAATATAAATATAATATAAAAGATAAGAGTAGAACTTACAGTGTTTTGAATTTAAATTATTTCATATGTAATTATTTTTTCTTATTTTTTAATTTTTTTATATTTTTTTAAATATTTTGGCTAGCACCATCATGGACAGCCCACAAATTTATACCTAATGCCACTATTTAGTAAACCTGTCAGCATTTTTCATATGATAAATTGAATTTCTGAGACAAGTTGATCAAATATTCAATATTGATTATCAAACTGACTGATGTCACAATCACTTTTGAGGAACATTCTTAATTCTAATACTGTTTAAAAATAAAAAAGCAGTTGGCGCATCTGTTGTCGCTTTGACACCCAAATTTGAGGTCAGGGGTTCGAAACTCTCGCCGTGCACGTCACTTGTGTCTATGGGCAAGACACTTTATCTATGTTTGTCTGTCTCTACCCATGAGTATAAATCGATACCTGGTAGGACGTTTCGTGCACTGAGTACACATGCACGACTAGGTGTACTCCCCAGGGTGCAGAGAAAGTTCCACTTTGTGCTGGTTTGCCGTCGTATGTTATCCAGTGACCAGGGGTAATAAGACTCAGTGCCTTTGATCTTTGATTTGGAATTGGCTCTATGTAAATCTTTTGGCATTATTATTATTAAAAATTAACATGGATTTCTCTATTATTTTTCTGATTGTTTGTGTCAGTTAATAGGTCCATGGTCAGACCATGTAATGCATTTTTTGCATCAGCTTCTAAGTTATTGCAGAAAACAAAGCCATTTTCCAGTGAATCCTGTAATTATATTGCCAATTTCAGTCAATTGGTCGGTTTCAATTCCAACTTAATGGTAAATAATTTTATTATCTAAATGAATGCTGTGAAAACATGCTCACTGTAGAATGCAATTCCAATTTAATTGTAAATAATTTTGTTATCTATTCAGATGAATGCTGTGAAACCATGCAACTGTTTGTACCGTCCCCTTCGTCTTCACCTGATTCAGTTAAACTGAAGTGGCAGTGCATCAACAGAAATGTCTCCTGTGATGCAGCCGTCATATTTATCATTCAACAAAAAGTCAACAAGGATGAGTTAACTGAAGAGTGGAAAACTATTCCAGATTTAATTGTATGAATTTGTCTATTCTTTAAAGTACATTTACGATTTATAGCAACAAAAATTACCTGTTGTTCGGTGTCCTTTTGTTTGAGCATCATATTAGTTGCTAATTATATTAACATCCTTTCTGAGAGCCCTAATCTTTTTTCCAAAGGACACAGTTTAAAACTCATTTAGTTGATTTTAGTGCTAGCTTTTTAACAGCTAATGGTTTTGTCTAAATTAGTATATAGCACTGGTCATTATTAGAATAATAATTGTGATGTTTGATGCCAAGAATGCTAATTACTAAATGACCAGTTAACACAGCCAATAGATGATAAACAATCACAACAAACACAATCTATAATTTTAAAAAGTGTTTATCTGAAGACAGAAATTTGTGACGTCAGCTGAAATGTTGAAGCTATTTGTTTCTATTAAATAGATTGTAAATTCAACACAACAAGTGCTTAGAAGACTGGAAGGCTGTTTTTATTCCATGAGAGTTGTTGCTGTCAGCCAAGATGGGATTCAAGGGATAAGCAACAACGTTAACTTGACTGGTATTACTGGTTCCTATAATTATCATTACTGAGTGTGTGAGAGTTGTGTCATAAGTGGAGAGTTGGATTAACAGAGAGAGGGTTTCAAGGGTGGCACCAGCCAGGTGGGGGGGGGGGGAGGTGGGGATGGGGCCCTAATTCATCGGAAAGAAAAAAAAAATTATATGTATTTTATACATATTGGAGACTCCAAAATCGATTAAATAAGCATTGGAGACCCCTAAATTGGCAAAATTTTCAGGGGGCTGGAGCACTTTCTAAACATTACAAGCGACACTCGACCACACCCACTTTGCTCTCGTCTGGGAAATATTTGCTCCCATCAGGCAAATCATGGCGTCACCCCTAAACTGTTTTATTTTGCAGCTGAGAACTAGAGCTGGAAAGGGAGGAAAGCTGGTTTCAATAAAAGTGACATAACTAAGGGGGTGGGAGGTGGAGCCAAGTCTGTAAAATAGACATTTGTGCCACCAAAACAAAAATAACAATGTAAATAACAATAGATACCTAGTATTTAGTATGACATCAATCAATCAATTCTTTCTTTATTCATCAATAAAAAAAAAATAAGATAAGAATGAAAATATGAATATTTAAATAAATGTAACTGACCTCCAAGAAACTCCAGGTAATGTGTAAACAGGAGGCCCATCAAACTAATTTATTTTAATCAATCTTAGAGGAAAAAGCTAACCTAAACAACAACTAATTTTTAAAAAGAACACCTAACAAACTAAGGATGGGATTTAAAATTAAAATTCAATATACATCTAGATGTGTATAAGAGACAGAGCAATAAGTTCCCAAATGCATTAGTTCTACTATACTTGTGTTTAAAGGTGAGAGTTTCTGGATATCGGGCATTAATCACAAGATATTCCAAAACATCAAGATCACTTAAATTATGTAAGCATTTTACAACAAAAATAATGCTATGGAATTTTATTCTTTGAACCAAATCAGTTATGTTAAGGATTTTCAGCCTGTTAGAAAAATCACCTTAAACACATAAAATAGTAATACATATTTATAAAATAATTGTAATGAAACCAATAATGGTATTAATTAACAATAAGTGGCTTAATAACAATAAAAATGATAATATTAATGTTTTTACCATTTTAAATATTGTTGACAGGTTATGAAATATCTTTATCTCTCACCAGCCTATCCAGTACCAGTCAATGCCTCTGTTGTATTGTTTGATAATAGAACAAACCTGGACGCTAATGTTAGCCTGACCCCTCATGTTGGTAGGTTTTGTTCTTTAGTTCTAACAATAAGGAATTATATAGAGCATTAATGTACCACAAATAAACATTAAAAATACACATTATTTAACTTTTAAAAACCTTCTTAATATTATAATCATTATTAGGAAATATTAAAATATAAATTAAATAGATGAAAGAAACTTAAAATTACTGTATTTTTCAAGTGAATCAAGTTAATATTTATATAGTAGCTTTATATTTTTTTTATTAATTGTTAAATAATTTATCTAGATATAAAAGCGCATAGAGCCTTTACATTATGCGCTATATATATTAACAATTATTATTATTGTTGTTATTATAGGATGGGAGAACACGTTTAGTTATTGGAATTTGAAAATTGATCATGATCAGATTTATAATTCAACAGACCCACAGGCTCCAATACTACCTAAGGTATACTTGTGTATATTGGTATGATTTATCTCCCTTGGAAATCACCATATCTCCATCATCACTGCTGTAACCATTGGGTTTGCTACTATCATCAATCACCATCACTGCTGTAACCATTGGGTTTGCTACTATCAACATCACCATTATCTTTATCATAACTGCTGTAACCATTGGGTTTGTTACTATCAACATCACCATTATCTCTATCATAACTGCTGTAACCATTGGGTTTGTTACTATCAACGATTATTATATCATTATTATCATCAGTATCACATTTGTTACCTGAACATTCTCATCTTCCTCATCATCAATTATAATTTTGTCATCATTTTTTCATCATCGTCATCATTTTCATCATCGTCATCATACTTGTTCTTATTAGTAGTATCATCATCTTAATAGTAATAATAATAATAATAGTGTAGTTTTATATAGCACACATATCCATCTAATGTAAGATGCTCAGGGCGCTTGATATGTGGACTAGGAACTCGATCAATGACTTTCTTCGCCCCTAAGGGTCCCTTTGTGTCTGTGTTACCCGGTAACCCGGTACCAGCAATTCTCGTCGTCCACCACAGGGGCTAGCTGTCTGTTTCAGTACACCGGGTTATCCCCCTACTCGTCTCGAAGGATGTACTGGGTTCACACAGGCCATTGTATGCACAGTGGGCCTATGGTTTGTAGTCCTTATTCGAACCAGCGCTGATATTATGGCTATAGTTTGCGGTGCCCCTGCTAACCGCTCAGCCATTCGACTCACCATCTTCATTAATTATTATTATCAACATTGTATAATCATTATACTTGGTCATTATCATCATTATTATCATCTTAATAATAATCAAACAAAAATAAGTTTAGCTATAACATGCAACAAAAACAATTAAATGTATACCAGATCTACCATGTTGGCCTACAAACAGTAAATTAAAATAAGTATATATTATTTATATTGCTTTAATTCCAACCTTGCAGACTTTCACCAAAGAAAGGAACCAAAGAACTGTTTGGCTTGGGAAAACAGATCATCTGATTGGTCAATCATTTGTATTCACTGTAAGTGTTTAAATGTTCTTCACAGTAGAAAATCTAAATCATTTGAGTGTTATTTTAAATAGCGCCCTCTATAAATCAAAAGAAGTTTGTAAAAACTTGCTGCATCAGTTACTGCTTGATTACTTGACTAACCACAAAAATTTTGTTTGCTCACCGTAAAAGCTCGAATTGAAGCCCTTGGTCGGGCCCTTGGCCACTGTAACATCAATCTGTATCATGGAGCGTATTTACCGGCAATAGATCACCCAAGCTACTGTATAACCCAAGTGTATTTTTAATTTATTACATGTACAGTGAAAAGCCCATGGCCTTATTACCAAGGCTACAGCTTTTGCAAACTAAAGAGGGGCTTTTCGAGATGTGCTTCTTCTCATTAATCCCATTGGGCTTATTAACCACACTCATTTTATTTATCCCAACAGTTTGAAGCTGTCACTAAGTGCTTGCCAACAGAAACTCTAGTGAAGATGGTCACTGTTGAATATGGCAAATTCGGCCTGACACCCACAAAGAAAGTTACAGGTATGCCAGTCTCATAGGGTTTTATAAATATTCCTAATGCATACATTACTCAGGGGTGTGAAACTATGTGGAAAATAAAACCACCTTAGGCCCATATCCAGACATTTATTCAGAGGTAGAAATGTTTGTTGAAGCTTTCACCATCTACTACCACACAAATTTTTTTTAAATTTTTTTATTTTATTTCAAACGTATTTATACAGGATTAGCCTCATACCACCCCTTTCCCAACCCATTTACTATCTCAATCCCAAATCAATGGGGCTTCCGTTAACATTGGTGTTTATGTTAGAGTAGTCTTTGTTTATTTTGGATTAGGCTAAACTATACAATTTATTTTATACAGCTTTTCAAATTTGTGAGATTTTTAGGGATTGATCATGAACAGCATGGTATACTGCCCTCTAGTAGTAGTCATTTGTAATGCACAACAGTTTGTTTGAATATATAATGTGTCATGGTAACATAGACAAAACCAATGGTAACTGAAACCTGATTGGTCCACTGTCTGCTGATACTTGAGAATAAATGTAGGCCTATTCAATATATAAAACCTTCTTGAATAAATTCATCTGGTTGATGCTATTCGCCTAAGTAATAAAATAATTTAATTTAAATAACTCACTGCATGGTCAATGCTCGCAGAAGTAGCAGCTGAAATATAGCAAGTAAGTTATGTTTGACAAAAAAAAAATGTTATTATCAAAATCTTAAATGTAGATTTCTATTAATTTTATAGATAATGATTTATCATTGCGACCTAATGAAATTGAGATTGTTGAACAATATCCGAGTGAACGCTCTACAATATCAGTTGTTATTCAGTGGATTGCTTGGACTAAGAGAGAAATATATAATGCCGAGGAAGTAACAGCCTATCATATACACTGGGGAAATATGTCTACATCATTCTTCCCAATAATAACTGCAGGCAATGTTCAAGTACAACCGGTAATATTAAAAATCATTACCTATTAAATAATAACAATAATTGTTTGGTTTATGTATTCAAACACATAAAAGCATAAGGCATATAAAAAACATTAGGATATGTATACAAATACAAAATTCTGTAATGTATCCTAATCTACAAAAGGCGAACATGATCAAATTCAAATATAAAAATATAAATTGCAGTAAAGACAAAATTAGTTATAAAAATTTATATACAAAAAATTCAGTACTGACATTCAAATCTGATGACTACAATTTCTATTACACTTGGATTCACAAGAAAGATACAAAAATTGAAATATAATAATTTAAAAATATTTATTGATAATAAAAATTACAGACCAATTACAAAAATATCAATAAAAAAATATATACAATAAACACTCAACCTTATATAACACTCGAATAAGAAAATAAAATAGGGATATCATTAGAAAGACAATATAATTATATAGATTATAATTATAATAATTAAAATTATATAATTACTAATATTATTTAAAGTATTTCAAAATCATATTTATGATAGTTTGAATTCTCAAACACTTATTACCCTTATAAAGCATTTCCAAAATTTTAAATATTGGGATTTTTTTAATTAGAAGTCGGGCTTTTAACTGTTAGGGTTACCCTCATTAATTAAGACAACATTTTTTGGTAAGACTGTAAATGGCCTTATCAACCATGTTTGTACTAATTCTGACTTCCTTTTTTCCACAGGACCAATTCAACATTACTCTGCCTGAATTACTGCCAAAAACGTGGTATGGAATACAAGTAAGTCTTTGTTTATCATGGGTGACCCTAACAGCGATCCTAGCATAAAGGGGCCCTTCACAAAAAAATAATAATAATATATCAATCAGAAAAATACCAAATTGATTTCTATGCAGCATATGAAGAAGAAAGTTCAATAAAAATTAAATTTACAAGATACTGGACATAAAATAGTGCAATATTCTGTAATTACATTTATTTAAAATTTGAAGACACAACTTGATAAGCATATTACAATTTAATATGCAGAGGGTAACATATAAACTTTCAATAATGTAATAAAGATCTAAAAATGACAAGATATGTCAACAAATTGAAATATTTCTGTTTTTTGAAAGGTTATTGCAAGACGTGGAAAGACTGACAAACTTGACTACGAGATGTACAATTTCAAAAAAATTTTAACAAGTAGGTTTCACAGTTTGATTTACATAATAAAGCCCTATCCAGATTATCACATTTGCTTAAACAAAAACTGTTGTATGCCCATATATTATTACTGTATTATTATTATTATTACCATGATGTTCCTATATATGGTCATGATGTGATGTCATCATGACCATATTTAGTCATGTCACATGTTTTTGTCAAAGGTGGTAAGGTTGGCAAATAGGGAGCTTTCGATTTGTGCAACAACGCGACGCTAGAATGGAATCACTCATGCGTGACCGTCCTACCGGGTGTCCTATGTTCTCTGCATACGTAGATTTTACCAAATTGCATCCTAGAATCCACGCAAAGAGGAGAACTTGTCCAATGTAAAGGATAGAGCAAAGTGTATTACTTTAGAAGTAATAACTTGTATAAGCAGGATTAAAACCTGAAAACAGTTTATTTGCTCCTTAACTAGACTGGGTTCCAGTCCCTAATAATAATATTTATTTGACATTACACTTTTACAACAGTAGCAGTACACAAAAAAGTGAAAATGCTTAAAAATAAATCGATTTTGGCACCAATGGTATTCCATATTACTTATTTGCATGGCGTTCCATAGTATACTTTTTCTGGGATTTGCATCAAAAAGTTTCGCGACATAAACTGACGCTGGTGGTGCTTTCCGAAATGTGCTAATACTACAACAAATCAATAAATTAGAGACTTGTGGCAAGTCTACTCCTTAACAAGAGTGCGGTAGACTGCCTGTTTCTTAAGAGAGACCGGTGATCCCTGGAAAATCAAACAATGCTCTACTTCATCATTTTTCTTTAGGCCTGGCACTCACTGCAATTGACGGTCGTCGGCCAACGTTATTCTATATAGAACGCAGCACAAGGACGTACGCATAACAGATAATTTTAATGATGATCTGTTTAGACTGACACCGACATTCTCACAGGGAGCAGAGTTGAATTTGTCAGCCGACATTTGCACGACCGTCATACGGCACAGTGAGTGCCCCACTTTAATGTACGTTCAACCTTAGTTCCTCTGAAATGTATAAATAGTCTGGCAACCTTCTATTTATTACATCTACATTTTTGTAGTGGACACTCCAGTACCATCCATCATGGAAGAGGTCACCCAAACGTACTTGTCACTACCACCGACATTAGCGATGCCTTCCTCAAGTTCATCAACTTCATCTAACATCATACAGATTGTGATTCCTGTCTGTTTCTTAGTTGCTCTGCTTGTTGTAGTTGTAGCCGTATGTTGCCGTTGTTTTATAAGGTACAGGACAGGTCATAAATCATTGCTACCTGGCGAGGAAATGGTTCTGAATTTGTATGAGACTTATGCTCTGAGACAAAGCACTCATCAACAACAAAGGTACCAAATTTATTTCTTTAAATAATATAATAATAATAATAAAAATAATAATAATAGTGAATTTATAAGATCTCTATGCGCTTTTACAGCCAGAAGTGCAATAAATTTATTTTAGTGATTTGCCTAATATATAAATGTATGTAGTTATATGAGCTAATAGTCAGGATCGAGGAAGGTTGCATGGTGTAAGACGCTTTAATACAGCATGAAGGAAGAGCTTTCTACGTCATACATAAATCACAAAATATCACACACATACTTCTATGATTCCAGCTATTATTTTTTTTTTTTTTTATTATTATTATTATTATTATTATTATTATTATTATTATTATTATTATTATCATCATTATCATGATGTTCCCAGCCCAACAGCACCAGACAGATGGGAAATTCCAAGTTCATGCATACAATTTCAAGACGTTCTTGGTGAAGGGGCATTTGGACAGGTTACCAAAGCTGTTGTTGAAGGGTGCTGGTTGCGGAATTCTCACCTCACCGGTAGTTTCATTTCAACCAAAGGTGTCAACAATGAACCAGTGGTTGTTGCTGTCAAGGTGTTGCATGGTAAAAATGTTACAATATTCTTTATTACAGTACAAAAGTTACTGTACATTACTTAACTATTGTACATTAAGAAATAATAAAGTAGTGGTTCATTACCAGGATTCCTTAAGGGGTTTTCTTTGAAAGCCTGAGGTACAAAGGGAAACCTTAGTGCTGTCTATAACCGAAGCATTCCAATTGGTGTATTTCATCATTGTATGATATTTTTATGCAAGAGGAGGCTCTAGTTTAGTTTATTAGAGGGTTTTTGCTCAAACAAGGGGGTTTGCTGATATCCAACTAGTTATATGGGCCTTGAATACTGTAGAAATACTGTTCAATACTGATAACTGAACAATATTAACTATATTCTTTTATTTGATTTTTTAGGTTTTGCAGATAGTGGTGACAGACAAAACTTTCTACGAGAGATTGATCTGATGAAAGCTCTTGGGCACCACCCAAATGTTGTAAGTCTGCTGGCATGCTGTACGCTAGAACAGCCGATCTGCCTAGTGGTGGAACATTGTGAGCATGGCGATCTCCTGAATTATATACGAATTCACAGAAATAGGGTAAGCATCTAAGAACAAATGGATGTTTCTGGTGTAGAAGTTCCTCCCTCCCAATGTGGTGGCTGGAAAAGTTAAAATTATTACAAATATAAGATTTTACATGCCTTTATTAGATTGAATTTAAACTAGTTTTTTTTTTCTCTAAATATTTGTTCATATGGAAGGAGATGCAAACAGAAGATACAACAAATACCTTAAGTCCTCTTACTCCAAAGGATCTTCTATCTTTTGCAAGACAAATTGCACTTGGAATGGTAAGAAAATAGGTTTCTTTTGAAGTAGATTCCTTTGAGATTTCCTCTAATTTTGTTGGTGAGCCTGCATTATATACCTAATGTAAAAATCTACCTACCTGTGATTGATTTGTGATGCAGGCTTGGCTGAATTACTGTCAACATCATCACGCATGCTGCTATGAAATTGTAGTTCAGCTATGTTCGCCGTTGAAAATATTGGCGGATACTAGGAATATCATTTTCTAGGAATACTGATTTAGAAAAATTTTTCTTTTGATGCAGGAGTATCTATCACAAAAGGGGTTTGTCCACCGCGATCTGGCTGCAAGGAATGTTTTGGTTGCTGACAATAAAATCGCCAAGATTGGAGATTTTGGTTTAACTCGCTATGTGTACAATGACAAAATATATCTGAATAGGAAAGGTGGGAAGTTACCAATCAAGTGGATGTCAATTGAAGCCATCTTTGACCACGTTTTCACAAGTAAATCTGACATGTAAGTTGCAAGTGGCATACGCAGGGGTTCATTGAGTGGTTGTGTTCATAGCTGGGTGGGTGTGGTGTCCATTGTGTGCTTGGGTGGGCTAGCCTGTAACCACAGGGTTTCTATGGGTCAGCTGAACCCCTTCTATAAACAGGACATCACTATCTGGTAACTGTCCCCACACCATTGAGGAATATAAATATAGAAAGATAAATATTAATATTAGTTTAAGTTTCATTAGCTTGTTTTTGAATTTTTGGGGGTTTTTTTTAATCGGAATTTTAATGTTTGTGCATATTAATTAATATCAAAAATTTTAAATAATAATTGTAACTAATTAAAATAATAATAATGTTGACTATTTTAATTGATCTTAATAATGATAATGACTTATTGTAAATTTAATTCAGGTTTTCTCTTTTGTAAATTGAATCCCCAATTCAGTCTCTGGCTGCTAAGGATTTGATATTGTAGTTGTTTTGTTTTGAATTTATGAATAAAGATACCGAGATATATATATATATTACAGTAGGGGTGTGCTACAATAATTATGCGCTAAAATTACTCCAGTATCCTACCAGGTATTCTGGGTGGATAGAACTGAGCAAGTGGACAGTTTGAGACTTGAACTCGTTACCTCTAGATTTGAAGTGTGATGGCATGCCACTGCACCACAATCTACATAATGATACAGTGTGTTGTACTTTTGGTAAACATGTTTTTCTTTCTGTTTTGTAGATGGTCATATGGAGTATTGTTGTCTGAGATTGCCACGATGGGTTGTTCACCATATCCAGCAATTCACAACAGGGAGCTGTTGAAACTATTGCAGCAGGGATACCGCATGGAGAGACCAGAAAACTGCTCGCAGGAACTGTAAGATAGCCTGTTACATTCTCTTGAGATAGCAGCAGATTCAATACTCGAACTTGCATGCTGTACTGAAAATTGAGGTCCATTGCAGTAACCATACAAATACATCGATTCAAATTTTTTTTTGTCATATACATTTAAGATACACATACAACTGCTTTGTTCCCTAAAGCTAGTTGTCCATGCAATCGTTACACGCTATTGCTGACAGCTTTTGGAGATACTGATTGGTTGGTCAAATTGGGGAGCCTTCCCAAAATGCATCAGCGACTGCTGCGCAGTACAACAATTGCACTGAAAACTACAGTAGCAAAATTTATCACTAACTTCAAAATCTATATTTGTTTGTTTAGTTACAGCATTATGCTGTCCTGTTGGAATGACAGACCAGAGGATCGTCCCACTTTCACCGACATCCGATACCATTTGGAAGACATGTTGGAGCAAGGCACAACATACTTGGATATCAGCGTCGATCCGTACCGTGACTGCTTCTGCCATTCAACCAGTACATCATCAACTGACAGTACGTTAGGTCTGGAGCCTGTCCACAACACAGAGCAAACAGCATTCATAAAGCCAATAGTGCCAAAAGAGAAAGAGCTTCTGGAAAGCAAACTGCAGTGTTTGAGTAAAGAGAGTAGTGATTTAAGCTTTTCAAAAAACTGTAGTGCAGATTCTGGAGTAGTGGTTTCTGATGATTGCTTTAATAGATTTTCATTGATGAATAAAACTACAAATCACTTATTTGTATGAGAACATTTTGTTTATATTTAAAATATCTATATCATCAACAAACAACTGTACATATTTGTAAATGTTCTTGTATAGTAATTAGAGTACACGATATCAACATACTGCACATCATGATCCGACCAGGGCAAGAGCATCCGTCAGTCGACCTTCTGAATTCGTAACTACTCATCGGTAGAGTTTATTTGAACAGTTCTTTATGTATAGAAATCTAACTCAATACCCATCTCAGTTCCTGAGACTACAGGATTTTTCTCATTACTAACAACAACCTCACTCCGCATCGCTAAGCCTGATTATGAAACTTATAAGGCATAACTGGGTTATTTGGGAGAACTGTGGATTTTCTACAGACAGGTCAACCAGTATAAAGAACATAAATTTATTTTTTTAAACTAACTCTGTTTTCTATAAATTATTTTCTATTTTCCATTCTGACGCTTATCATTATTTCATGGTTATTTCTATGGTTATTATCATTATAATAACTGTTACCACAGGCTCAAATATATCATCGTAATTATTATTGTTGTCTCTTTGTCAAATACCTTATGCGCTAATTATGTTAATATATGAAGTAAAATACTCTCTTATAATATAAGATGAAGTAAGCCACAGTAGGATACTATAACTGAATAATAATTATTATTATTATCTGTGTATTATGTCCAGCTCATTGTTTTGGCATTGGTACATGTCATGTGTAAATGCAATGTTTAATATGTATTTTAAATGTGAAAACGAAAAATAAATAATTATATATATATGATATTTTATGATTATTGTGTTAATGAAATCTACAATGTTGCATGTTGCTTGTGTCCCAGGCAAGATACTTATCTACGCTTGTCTCTCTCTAAAGGGGTACCGGCATATGCTGGGAAGGTACAACCAGGGAACAGTGAAATTACTGTATTACTGTAATTTCACTGTTCCCTGGTACAACAGACAGCTGTTCTGGAGGAGTGGCATTCTTTGCTGCCTCTACCCCTCCTCTCCATTATCCATCCTCTTATAGTTTTCCTCGGTTAAATATAACTGGTGGTGATGAGAATGTTTCTTATGTTGAGGGTGAGTGGGAGAAGGATCATGTTCTATAGACTACTAACGAGAACTCATTGTAAGCGTCCTATGTTACCATTTTACTTTTTTCTCTAATATAATTATGTCATCTATTTTTTTAATTTTTTACATGTTTCTGATGGTTGTAATCAAGAAAATTGGAATCGAGCAAATGGATAATTTCAACTATGGTACCATTCTTAGCTCCATTAAAAAACATATATATAATAAAATAAAATAAAATAATAAACAGTTTTATTAAAATCCAATATAATTATAGCCATTGTCTTATTTTTTACACGTTACTGAATATGATGATGATGGGGATCAAGAACATTACCGAGATTACAAGTCTAATTAGAATTGAGCAAATAGATAATCGTATCTTGCTTTTTGTGTTTAGTTCGTCACCGGTAACTTCCTTCCATGAGTTATAAAAAGTTTGCAAACCCTGCATTACGAGAGGGCGCTGTGTAATCGAACATCGGTACTCCAGATCTCAGTACCTTGAGTTGTGATAAACAGTTAGGTTCTGTACTAGTTATAGATAATTATTTTATTCAGGGGACCAAGTCCCCGGCGTGCAAGTCGCGAGAGTCCCCCGATCTTCTGCAAATTTTTGATATTTTCGGGGTGTTTTTTTTTACTATACAGTATTAACAGTAGTCTCCCGGTCAGTGCAATTATGATTACTGTTATTGTATTTTGGGTTTATTATGCAAGATGAGCTTTCACAATTGACAAGCAAACAGCTACATTTTAGGATCATACATATTAACAAATGCTCTGCTTAAATCGGTCACATATATTGTATTTATAACGTGCTGGTGAAAAGATAAGTACATATGTAGGCCTATATATATATATATATATATAAATACACGAAGACGATGTGTCCACGTCAGGCGCGGATGGGTGGGGGTGGGCATGAAAGCCCATGAGGGAGGGCCGGAGAGGGAGAAAAACTTGAGTTCAGTGCCGATCTAGCAGTGGGAAAAAGGAGAGCTCGATTGTTTGCCGCTTATTTACATCAACCATGTGGGGCGGAGGTGGGCGTGGACATCATATTGTGGGCCCCCTCCCCCTCAGAAAATATCTGGATCAGCCCCTGCACGTGTGTTTCGAAACATATATTAAATATAATATTGCGCAGCAGTAAATAAAATGTTGATTTATATATAGAAACACTACAATTTATTGCAACAAATGTTTTGACTACACCTGTAGTCCTTGCTGGTCTTTGTCAGCTTTTGACTTATGTCAAAGTCACCATTTCATGTATCTGAATATTCATTATTGTTGCACGGTATTATATCGAATTTATACATGTCAGTTTTATGAGAGTATTATATCGAATTTATATATATATTGCCTATATATATATACACACATACATGTCAGTTTTATGTATATATGTATATACATATATACATATATATATATGTATATATGTATATACATATATATATATATATATGTATATATGTATATATGTATGTATGTATATATATATATATGTATGTATATGTATATATATGTATATATATATATGTATGTATGTGTATGTATAGTAGGAATAATGTCAAAATATATATGGTCTTATTGCTCAGCACAGAAATTTTCCAGCCCAGATTTTTTTTTTTTAAATCCAACCCCTGAAAAGTGTAAGCGGAAGGAAGTTCGCTTACAATTTTCTCGTATTTTATCTGTATTCATCGAAGGTGGTACACCACATTTCCTTAGCGGTAACCGGATGAAGTTACAACTGTTATCGGTACTTTGTCACCCCATGTCAAACCGTCGGCGGGCTACAATTAAATTTGTGTCCTGCTGATCGGTCACTGAGTCATACAACATTAATAGCTGTTTGTAACAACGTTCCATAACATAATATTTGCGCAATTGATAATGCATATTTTAAAGTGGTTATTAGTTGACGTTACAATTTATTTCTACTCCGTATTAATCCATCTGGGGTTTGTAGTAACGTAAACATCCTGATCACCTTCGAGTACAGTAATTGGTTGTAATGCACTGCGTAGCATCACTTGCATGTATGCGCAGTTTACGCGCAACTACGACGACTTTTTGGCAGCGAAAGCTACTTTAAAGTAATCATTTCCAGTTAGGACCTTTCCTGTTTATTGGAATATGATTGGTGACACGGGAGAGCCATTATCCAAGTCTTTGGCAAATTAATACAGGTCCGACAGATGCGAACGTCTAATAAAATGAGTTTGACTTGCGTTTCATTATCTTACTTGAATGTCAAGGACCTTATTAACACAAAACAAGTAGCTATTGATATAAATATAGGCCTATTTAATAGGTAAATACAAATGATTAGCGTAAAGTAAGCTTCATTGGCCAGAAAAGGGGGAAAAAAGCTTAATATTTTGTCTACATCTGTGTGTTTGTTGACTTTTATGGCTTAAGTGAAGTTCCATTAAAGACGGAAACTCCAGTAGTGGAAAGGATGCCCCAACCGAATGTGAACTCGAGATTTCTGTTGTTTCTTAAATATTTATGGAATATGCGAACACGTGTCCTTATGACAAGTGTAAAATACTCGGCGCAAAAAAAAATATATTTCTTTCCATACACATTAGCCATGTTCTACTGTTGTTGTTTTTTTCTTCTTTTGGCCGTCTGACTTCATCAGTTTATATTTCGTGACATGACATACGTGCAATACTACGATGACTATACTACCACTAACGAAGGACTAAAGTGTTGTCAGAAAGCTCTGGTAAAGTCTGTATTAACCAAGAACAATGTAGGCGTAGGCCTGTCTGTATGACCGGATGTCATTCATTTGAATACTGTATGTCATAGCAGTAGGCCTATTTTTATTATTCCAACTCCATCCTCCGCGCCGTCCAAATTCCAAGGACACTCAAGTAATTATAAGTGGGAGTCGGGGAGAACTGAACTATTTACGTATTTAATGAATATCTTCCTAGACAAAACATCGTAATAATTATTTTATAAAACTCCTACAACTATCTTTAGAACGTCGGGTTTCTCCTGGGACTATGACGCAAGACTGCACTTGCTTCACAGGGGTAGTCTGTGTCGTTCCGACTTTTCCCACAGTTCGCGTGTTTTACGCCCGTGGCTTAACACAATAGACATACATCGCAATTATAAAGAATAATACAAATGAGGTGATTAACTGATCATTTAAGATGATCAATATAAATATGTTATGAATAAACATTGCCCCTCAGTGGGAGGGGACGATAGCACATTGCGTCATAACTAGAAGAAAACGGAAGTACCCGTCAGATTTTTAATAACTCAAAAAACGACACGTGAAAAATAGTCAAAGGATATAACTTTCAAAGAAATTGATTCATTTATTAAATTAATTCCCAGAACATAAACATATAATTAATTTATTAATTAACTCACACATCGTGCTGGTCTATCTCATTCTAAATTCTGTTGCAAGGCCTAACTTTATTAATAAAAACAAAGAAAGTACAGTATAGGCCTATAGACATTGAAAAAAAAAACACGCACACAATGCCAAACCACAAAAAATCACGACGAATATAGCTACCGTATATTAAACGAAATACAATATATTTTTTCATCATTAATCATAAAAATACCGGTATTAATTAGGCTTATTATTTGTAGCAACAAGGTAGCAAAGACTACCGTAACAAGAACCACATTGACATAACGATATCCAAATTTAAGTATTTAAATCAAAAATGAAAATGTTTAATGCAAATTTAAAGTTACATCAGAACTATAAAATTACAGTAATATAATACAATTTCTAATATGACCAAAGAAATAGTTCTTTGTTTGTTAAAAAGCCATATATAAAAATTAAATATGCATATTTTAAAAATGGTTATGCCTATTACTTTTAACAAAATAGAATTTAAATGTTTTTAGAATAAAGTACATATGCCTTAAATTTACTTGATTAGAAAAAAAAAAGATTTAGTGTCCGCAAACTGTTCAAACGAGGACAAAGAAATGATAAAAATAAAAATTACATTTCAAAAAGTTATAGGCCTTCAGACATCAGTTGTATTTTGTAATGATCGAACGAAAGAAAACAAATGCAAAGGTTTATTTAATGTTTTATCAATATGAAAAATAAAGTGTTGCGTGGCTAAAGCCGGGATCCGGAGCAAAACAATGTACAAATACAAATTGAATGGGTATTTGAAAATATAACCAAGAAAGGCTAAAATATACCAACAAAAATGTTATTCGCTGGAGCCTTGCTTTAAATGATTTTAGTGTACCACGTGCTGGTCTGGTCTTTATAAGGACCGTTATGTTAATGAGACGACATAACGGTTCTTCTCGGGAAAATTCACTTGATTTAACATAGGCGTAATATCAATAATAATTGTAATAGGCCTATATTATAATATACAGGGATGGCACAAATCCAAAATAATCGTGCACCTATAAACTTAAGCATGGATCTTATTAATAGATCTATGACTTAAATAACAACCACGGTAGAACTAAAGCAATTTTATTTTCTTTGCTAATGGAATTTAATCAGATCTGCTTATCATATTCAAAGTACCTAGCGTTATTAAGTCAGGCATTTCTGTGGAGCCGTATATAAACTACAGATAAACTAGTATTCAGTGGTATCAGTAGATATGAATGTACTTAAGTCTGGTACATGACATATTTTGTAGCCACAGATTAACAGTAATGGAAAAAATCAGACTATATTACACCATGTAGATATAATGAGATTAGTATAAATCCATGATTGACAGCCAGGCTAATGAATTGACTCAGTATTTTGTAAATGGTTATTTCATTGTTTTATATCTTTTTGTAAGTTCTGTAATATTGTGGATGTACCATAAAATTGATGCGTACCGCTGATGCTACAGCGATTAAAATGCAAAAATCTGTCTGTCCCGTATTAATTCCGTTGAAAGAGCGTGCTAAACGTCCTTAGACTTTCATTCCACAACTGCAGCATGGAAAATCCGTCACTGAAACTAGGGGATATGTGCAGTAGCAAGAACACTCTACCGTTTGCCATAGGACCAAATATATTTGTAAACAAACAATCAATCAATGTCAATCAATCAATTAGTCAATCAATTAACCAGTCAGTTCATTAGACAACCCACACATTAACGATATCCATTTCAAACAATGAGAGCGAAAATACCTTAGAATTTAGAGAAAAAACAGGCAAAACCATCAAGAAGATAAATAAATGTCATATAAACATTCATAAGGTATGATCTCAACATGTAAACAAGTACAGTGTCATTCTTTGACATAACCAAGGGGTAGGCCTAAATTGTAAACGTTATCACTGCATAGCTATCTAAACACGCACGCATTGCAAGACAAGACAATGACAGTTAGCAATAGCTAAGAACATAGTCAACATTGGTATATAGAAATTTAACGAAAATTATACGCAGGCCTATATATTATAAATCTTATACGTTTTCTATAGTATAAACAAATAGATAAACAATATGACAGCGCTAAAATAGAAACATGCGATGTCATAACCGTATCAAGCAGCTATGCACCGATCTCCTTCATGTGTATGAAAAGGTGTATCTGGCGGGATTCGAACCTGCACACTCTCGCTGTCAAACGAATAGGCCTATCAAAACTTACGGTACCGAAACTTACTATGAAAACGATATAGGCCTAAAGATTTTTAATAAGTAAATAACATTAAATATTGTTAGTAGAAATTACATTCTAATCCCATCGTCCTGGGTTCAATTCCAGTGACTGCATGACTTTTTCTCCACTCCTTAAGCCAAAGAGTCTTGGTAAGTTTATAAAGCATCGTCCACTGTATTTGGCGAGTTAGTTGTTATTATTATTAATAATGATAATAATAATAATAATAATAATAATAACAATAATAATAATAATAATAATAATAATAATAATATATTATCATATACATTAAATTAATAATTAGAACGATAAGTAAAATTTTGAACCAGGCTCAGTGTCCTTATTTTTTTTTTTTTTTTTTTGCCGATTTCAGGCTCAAAATGTTCTTATTTTGTTCTTAGTTTTACACACTTTACAAACGTAGGCAATTATTATTGTAAAGCAGTATCTGTACTGTATTGTAGAGGGTATTACTTAGTAACACCTACTGCAAATAACGTACGGATAAGATGATGATTTTTCTAATTTTTTTTCTTTTATAAAAACCTCATTTGACATTTTTACCTCAGCCTAAATTTGTTTTTAATTTTTTCTTAATTTTTTTGGCAATTTCAGCATCAATGTTCTTAGAAAAATGTTTTTATATAAAAAATTGTAGGCCTATTACATTTTTATAGAATTTTATGTTTTGTCGATTTCGATATTTAGAATTGGGTTTCATCACTGTGCTCTTGTAGTTCTAACTGTTTTATAAGGCTAATATAGATGGTAAACAAAACCAAATTAACAAAACGGTAATTAAATCGTTAGGAAGTAAATATCAGAAATGAATGCACCTAAAAACCAGCTTTAAATATAAATATAATTATGTATTTAAAGCTAATTACTCGAGCATGATGTTACGTCATCATTGCATCAGGAAAACAACATAGCAATGCGTTTATCAATATCGTCATTTCGCCCAGCTTGATTACCGTAATTAAAGTTAAGCAGCGCTTTTATAGGCCTAAATTTATATAAGAATAATCTGGTGAATCCGGCATGTTAATCAAAGTTAAATAAAGTTTTTTGAAGATACAGAAGGCCTATACTAGTTGTGTAGCAGAATGAAACAACACGATGATCATTGTTCTCTAATTGGTTGATTGCAGATGAGTTTCTGATGAGCTGGCCAATCAGGGGGTCCAATTATTGTGACTAGACAGACCTCTCAGAATCTCAGACTAATTGTGGAGAAAAGAAACTCACCATTTCCGACTGTATGCTCACCCATACTCACCTTATGAGCTTTAACATTACTGACCTACCACGAAGCAAGCGATCCGTTCCAGCCTCAATTCTGTCAAATAACGTACAACATACAGCGAACAGCTGTAAGTAGTTCACGAAACGTCACATTCAAGTTTGCGAGAGATCCAGTAGGGTGAAAACACAATAATTCGTGTTCTGATGTTAAACGTAATATTCGTGATATAAGTTTCCCCGAGGGTGGTGTTCTTGTGTTTCTCGATACGGCGCACCTCGAAGAAGTCGATATGAGGGCATGCATGCTTGGCACTAGGGTGTTAGTTATAATTGGTATTGTGCTGGTGGAAGTTGACGCAGAAACAAAGAATTGGGACAATAACATGGAGAGTAGAATACTTCGTTTCTTTGGTTTGAAACAAAAGCCCAACATTAGTATCAATGCAACGGCTCCCCAGTATATGATTGATATGTACCGACGCATTGAGCTTCAGCAGAACACCTTCACCTCCAGGTGTGGCTTTAATGATAATGACATACCCGGTAACACCGTTAGAAGTTTGCAGAACACAGGTAGGCCACTATAGATAAACCTAGTATTTACAATATTCAATTAGCATTTATACATTTGAGTATCATTTTTATGGTAAAACATAAACAATATAATATTATTTATTATTATTATTCAAACTATTCAACTTATACGCTAATTTTTCGTTATATTTACTTAGTTAATTAATGTTATCCCATGACGGTACCCCGTGTTTGCGGATGCTTTGATAATTTGTCGCCACGCATCTCTGCCAAGCATGGTATTCTTTAATTCGTTATTTTTAACTGCCACTAAAAGCACGGTACCGTACGAGCTGCTGTGTTATTGTGTTGACAATGATAGTTACTTTTTACCATGATGAAACCAGGGAGATGATGAAACTGAGACGTTAGCCTGCAGCTCCCCGTCCCCCACTGCTAGGGAAGATAACTTAGAGTAGGTCTAACTCCGATTACCTCAGTGAAGGGGTTTAGCCCACTTAGTAAAAAAACTCTACCTGTCTAATCAATCATTATTTGGGGCCTCAGGAAGTCGTTTGTATAAAAGTAAGTCTATATACTATTCCTTGGTCTATATACAGGCCTATAATAAAAATATGGGTACACAGTTACTACAGGCCTAAAAGTAAGCCTGATATAAGGTGTGAATAATTCCTTGGTGTCAAATTTACAACAAAAATTTTGCGGACCACCAGGACTTTTTAAAGTACTCACGGAACGAAGCAATTCCAAAAGAATTTAACAATAAATTTTACGGGAAACATTTATTGTGATGTATTGTTAGCTCATGGTAACGCCGTTTAGTAGGAGACTTGACGTAAATGTGCCTGGAGCTAAAGTAAGGCCTGTCGAATGACTTGTCTTGGTCTTGCATACGAATATTTCATTTAGATTTCTTAGTTGCTCCATTTAACTTCAACGAGCTAACATACTATTATAGCTCAGGATGGATAGGTTAAAAGTTACGGTACCCGTCGGATGTTATAAATACAGGCCTAATCAATTATGTCACCTCGCGGAAGAACGATTAATAATAAGAATAATATCATCATCGTCATATACTTCATCATTATCATCGTTATTAATATCATCATCATCTTCTTGATCGTTATCATTATTATAAATATATTTATTAAAGCCTATTATTATATCATTATTATTATTATTCATTAAATCTATCAATCATTATTATTATTAGATTATTAGTGTAAACATTTAACAATATTAAGATTTTTTTCATTAATTAATAATAATAATAATAATAATAATAATAATAATAATAATAATAATAATAATAATAATAATAATAATAATAATAATAATCATAATATTAATTAATCCAATTTTTTTTTTTGCAGGTTTGGGCATGCGTTCAGCAAGTACCGGCAGTGGACGATTCCACCAGATTCTTTCTTTTAACCTTTCGGCAATCCCTGTATCAGAAAGTATAACTAAAGCCGAAATCATTCTCGGAATGTTTGAAAATAAGGAGCCAAGGAATAATAGGCCTATGGAAGTTAAAGTGACCCTCTACCAGATAGGTAAACGAAGAAACAATAATAATTTACTGGAAGATCAACCAACGTTAGACTTACATTCGTTACATAATTTTACATCGGAGTCCGATGAATACGCAGTTGTCGATATTTTGAATATTGTCGAGACATTTCGCGAACTATCGACAGAGAATCTTGCGTTGTACGTATCATTTGATTTCGGAAGTAAGACATTGGACTTTTCGGAGCAAGAGCGCCTGCTATCTAGCCAGACATCATTAATAGTTGTTTCCATTGATCACGAACAATGCAAAACAAGGATTCGTCGAGACGTCGTAACGAGTGACGTTCACGAGAACAACCCAAATATCTGCAAGAGGAACCAACTCCTGGTGAATTTCAATGACGTTGGGTGGGATGATTGGATCATTGCGCCGATGACGTATCAGGCGTATTACTGTGCCGGAGAGTGCCCCTTCCCTATGAACGAGAAACTTAACACCACCAACCATGCCATCATGCAAACACTGGTCGTGTCCCTAGACGGATCCATCGCTTCCCCAGTCTGTTGCACACCAACTAATTTATCTCCGATTTCGATGCTATATTTTGATAACAATAATAACGTTGTGCTTCGACAGTATGAGGACATGGTTGTCCAAGAGTGTGGTTGTAGGTGAATGGACATTGTATCATTGTGTTGTTTATGTTTGACCATGGGCTTCTTTTAGACGCAATAAATTAATAATTCATAGAATATGTGTAGGCCTATAGTACTGGCAGTATACATACACTCAAGATATACTAGTGATGTATTCTTGTGTCCTTAATGGATACGATAAAGTTATTTAAATGAACGCATAGTTATTGTAATTCTATTCGTAGGTTAACATTGCATTCCAGGGTAAGGTTTGTGTAATGCCGACGAGAAGGGGTAACGAATATGTTAAATGGGGTCCACTTTAGTTCCTTGGCGGTGAAGTGTCACATAGGTCTAAAAGAAATAGGCCTATTATTATCAAAACCACGTTATTTTGACCAAGAAATCCATCAGATACCGGTACTTTAATTTAACTTCTCTGATCATAAATAGATCCGCCTCTGAGTACGAGACTCATATTTACAGTCTACATCGTCTTCATCCATTTAACAGATAAACTTACTACACTGAGATAGACCTACATAGGCCTATACGTAATAATAGTCAGAGGACTATGCAAATTACATAGACAATGGACAATATAAAAGCACTTTGAGTACTGTTACCTGTTAATGTACCGGTACTGTAATCGACTTTAAATTAAGACCACTTAAACTTCTAAAGACTCATTTTATCGTCTAGACGATCTTTTCAATATCATCGGTTAAAACTAGGTCCTTGCAAGTAATTAGTCCATTGTTTTCCTATTTTCCCCGGAAACCATTTGTATTTATGAATAATGTGCAATATTTTGTTTGTATGAGGGGAAGTTTTTTTGTAATTTAGTTAAGTTTATACTTTTTATACATATGAAAACTAAAAAAAGTTTATTATGCTCGGAATAGATTGCACACTCGTCTGATTTTTCGTACGTCCATGTCGAATGTATTGTATTGGTCGCTAGTTAAGAGTTAGCGGTTTCAAAAATTGAGAATTTCCTATATTAATATAACAAATGCTATTTACTTGGAGGATATTATTAATTAAATAAAATGCTTGAGCGATCAATATGTTTATAGAATGCATTTCCTTTGCTGTTTGAATAAACATTTTAGGCCATTAACATTCTAGCACTCATTTAACACATTCACTCTATGCTTTTTGATTACATTATGTTTCCATGCAGTGAGCCATGTAAAGTTGGGCCTACCCCAGGGCATAAATGAGCCGTATGCAAACACGACAGTGAGCGTCATGCTTGTGAGCAGCCTTGTTGTAGGACCAGGATGAAACACTTCGTGAAGATGAAGGGGATCCGACGATACCGGCATTTAGTGCCGTATCTAGGGTCTTGACATAGGTGGGGGATGCGGAGGTGGAGTGGGGTACTCGATGATTAAGTGAGGCTGCGCTAGGTCACAAAAATAAGGTGATATGAGATGAGTTTTAACTACTTTGTTTGATTCGGACATTTTTAATGGGGGTGGGGGAAGGGAGGTGGCGAATGGGGCGGGTGTGCGCATCCTATATACACCACTGCCGACATTGTTTGAATCGGAAATTGTGATTTTTCACAGGTGTCGCTCAAAATCGTTTGTGTTGCAGGGGAGAAAAAACCCCGAAAAATATTACACTTTAGGGGTTTCAGGTTTATTTAATCGATTTTAGAGTCTACTAATATGTAGAAAATACATAATTTGTTTTCTCCCCGAAGAATTATCGTTTTCCTCTCCAACGGGAGGAAGAGGGGGCAGCTCCCTCCGACGCTGGCGCCACCCCCCCCCCTTGTTTAAACCTGTATAGAAAATACAATACAAGGCCGATCTAAACTCGCACTACACAGTACACACTGCGAAATCATGCGAGAAAACATCATTTAGACTAGCAGACGTGTCGAGAAACATTAAACAAACAACGTAACGCTACTGATGTTAAACAGTATTTTGCGGTCAAGTTTACTTTCACTTAATTGTAAAACGTTTTTAGGCCTATTAAGATTTTGTTTTAGCGTACCTCACGTTGACTCATCGTACGCTATAATCATGGTGGTAGGGCTTTTAAAGTGTGGTTTTGTGACTTGAATCATACAGACCTAAAATTACGAACAAATCAGAGTTACGAAATAAAATGACTTTGCTGAGGGTAATGTCATTCATAAGTCAGGTACAAAGCTAACATACAATACTTGGCACGATAAAACCACACTATTAAATACTTTAGTTGCTCATAGTTGAATCAAGTAAACAGTTAACTTACAAGAAGAGACGGAAAACAATTTGTGTCAAGCAAATTTATATTATATTATCTTTAATGACACAGTTGATCCATTTTCGTGACATATTCCGTCTTCATATTTGTAGTACTATTTAGAGATAGGGCCTATGCCATTGCTAGGAAAAAAAATTATACAGGATTTCACAATCAAGTATAAACCTGTTTTTCGCTGTGGTATTGTCAGAGAAAAATAATACAATACGATACTTCAAGAAAAAGGACTTAGATTATATATTTATAGATTTAAATGAGTTGAGAGAGAGAATATCAGCTGGTAATTGGTTCCAGACATTAGCGCCAGCTACCTTATAAGAAGCATTCATTTTACTTACTGTATATTGGGGCACAACAACATTAAAATTCACTACTTTTGTTTTTTCATTCATTCTGGTTTATTATTAAAAAAATAACATTTGACATTGCAGAACTGCACTGAATTGCGTCAAACTAACAAAGATAAAGATAAGCTGAAACAAACAACAACACTCACAAAACAAAGCACAACAATGTAACATAAGCCTACATCCAAATGTTATTAAATATAAAAATACTTCTCGTGTTAACTTAGTAGGCCTATGTCTTTCACTAACAAGTTCAATTTAATTTACCAATCGTTATGATACGATAATTCGGTTGGGCTTTAGCTCAAGCCAAGATGTAAAATTTAAGGTAAAAATGAACAGCGCCCTCATACCTTATTTAACTTCGTTGATCTGCCAGTTTCTTATAGAACATAATGTTCAACGTCCTCATCCTCACCCTCATCATCATCATTATTATTATCATTGCCGTGATGATGATCATCATCAATATCATCATCATAACCAGTGGGGCGCCAGTGGTGGTGGTGGGGGGAGGGGGGTTGGAGGACAGGTCTCCTGTTGAAAAGAGTTACCCCTCCCCTTTCGGTGGTATTCGTCCTCATTCAGTAATTGGAGATTTGGCGCAGCAGTTGAGGTTCTTCTCAACCTTGAGGTTGGAGGTTCAATCTCTCGCTGTGATTTCGCTTGTAAACTTTACCTACAGGAGTACAAGTGGGTACTCACACACATTTCACGCTGTTTACTGCTTTGATCCATTGACCAGTGTAATGATGTGAAGCGCTTAGAAATCTTGTTGCATATTATTGTTACTTACTGGGGTTATAATTATTGTCATCGTCGTCTACTCTATTATCATCATCGTCATTTTCATCACTATCATTCGCCACCATTGTCTTCGTCGTTGTCTTCGCGTCGTCGTCATTACCATCATTATCATCTTGGTTCTATTTTCCATATATAATAATACTAACATTTCGGTATACTAATCTGTCCGGTCGATACTATAAGTACGATCTAAAATCGATTGAAACGCAAAAAGACTTAGGAATTCCAAGTTGCGACAACCATAAAATTAAGTACAGCGCCCCCTAAGCTATAAAGATGCCGTTTAATTATTGAGACGAAAATTGTATATATTTACTTTAGACAATTATTTTATGTTATAAGTTGGTTAAATTGGCCCATACGGAGCTATTGTAAACCTGGCATTTAAATTTGTCTCCGTAGAGATATTAATGGCCTGAGTGTTGGTCTATAGCACAATATAGATATATTTATAAAAACGGATAGGCCAACTGTTTTGTTCAAGTATAGGCCTATAATAATAGGCACAGTATAATATAACGCGTTATGTACCTAAGAAAAGCGAATTATTGGAGCGTTGCTGGATATATTTTTTATTATTTTTTTTTAAGTGTTTAGTAATAGTGACCAAAATGAGAGGATGATTAAATATAAAAATAATGTAATTCAAAATTACTAAATATTCTTAGTAGTAAGAAGGGATTGTAAAATTACAATTGCTACTAGTACAAAACAAAATAATAGGACCTACGCCAATATTTATAAGTTTCCAATGCCTCCGGACCCTTTGGCCTAAACTTCAATATATACTACGATATTCTGTGATAATATTAGGCCTTGAAAATATATTTTGTGTCTTGCCTCAGGCCACTTTTGATACAATATTCAATAAGTTAGGCATTTTGCAGTGATGCTATCGGGTTGATGGAAACTCTGCGATGATTCTTTTGCGCTGTTTGATATTTAGGAATACCGAGAAATGATTTAGTAGCATATGTTCTGAATTATAATCTTAATTGAATGACTAATGTACACATTTAAATGTATCATTAATTTACAAAATCGTCTTAGTTTACATTTATATTTCCTGTCATATAGGCCTATGTCTCCGGCTGCCATATTAGCGCTCGCCAATAATGCATGTCGTTTGTGCGCTCATCGTTGCTTTAGCGCTTGACAATATATTCCACCTCTAATGTGTGATTTTCCGTAATTCGTTTCAGTAAGTTGATATTTAAATGTCTGTAAAAAAAAATTGGTATTAACATAGCCTACACCGTTCATAGTTTTCCTCATTTCTGTGAACCCAGTTCATTATCTGGGTTTCGCTTAGCGCATTCGACAACATTGCGCCAGGTATGCCTACTACCTGTCTGTAACACCTGTACCTCTATTAAATTATCAATGTAGCTGATACATACCTTCGCATTTGATGGTTCCCCGCATAGAATAACAACCCCGAGGGTTATTGACCAACCGGAAGCTCCGGTTAATATCACCCTGCCACTTGATCAGTACTGAATACCTGTACAATACGGTAATCAAGATTCCACTATACAGTAAATGTAGTATTAACCACGTTTCGGGGGCAACGCGAGCAAAGTAAATGTTACATTGATTTATTGATGATAGACGGAGTGGTCAAAAAGTTTGGTCATGAGATGTGCAGTAGATCCATTGAACGACACTGGTAGGCCTAGTTATGGTGTAAACGAAATATAGGCCTAACCAAAATTTATTTTAGCCTGTAATTATTATCACAACGTGCTATGTAAAACAATAATATACCAGTACTAAGATAGGTATTAAGTTAGTGCGCGGTAAAATCAGAGTAAGCTAATCAAATTCCCAATTGATATTGACTTGCTTAAATAAAAAGATACTGTATTATTTCCAATGAGAGAAAGATTCAAACATTATACTATGTTTTCACGAACATTCATATATTGATTACCGTATTAGCTAATTAAAGCCTGGATATTAATACGCTGAGAAATATGTTAACCCGTTTAGATTTTCGGTTGAACACTAATAGGTCATATTACTTGAATAGGCCTATAATCCAGAGAGAACCCCGAAAACAAAGTGTTCAATAATTTATAGAAGTTTTAATTAAACGCTAAATGTATACTTTTTATCGAGTAAAATTAAGTGTATATGTTTTTTATTATGAAAACTTTCAGTTCTTCTGACAAACATTTTCCCCAGGCATCAATAATTACGAAACAACACGCGGAACTAATTTCTCCCCAAGTTTTGAACCTAAAACTTACTTCAGAACACTCTAATCTATTCAGTAGCAGAGGCTGATTTCTACTGAAAATAGAGCTGTACATTTACCGCGAACTGTTCCCGTGCAAATAATTTTGTAGTTATGTGCCCGGAAAGCCATCAAAGGTACGACAAAAGTCACCCCGACGGCCGAAATGACGTGTGCGTTGAAACAGCCATGTGCGAAGGACGGTTCGCATGATTGGCAAATTGTAGAACTTCCCACTGCTCGCTCGGACAGTATATAGCAAAGTTAAACAGGGGAACACGCACGATAGGCAGGGCTCAATTCGTAGACAGAACGGCTCCTGCCTGGATATTACTCGTAAGTAGTCTCTATGGAGCACTACTCGTATTAATAATAAACAACTGAATTTGTTGACAAACAACTACAAGGGATATTTACCGATATTTACCGACCAACAGGATTTATACAATATTACTGAACTCAAAAATATTATTTATCTGATTGTAATTTACGTTTCGAGGAACAGGTAAGACGTTTTATTTTGTTCAAATCTATATTACTCGATGTATACTAGTGCACATTTTATCGGTAAATATCAAACACAAATTTTACGTGGATTATTTTACATAAATTATTTTTATACTAAAACTTAAGTAACAAACATATTTGTTTTTCATACCTGAATTTTATTGAAATTCTAAAATAAATATTAGGGTA